CTCAGGATCCCTTGAGCATTTGTTGAATCTGGTTAGGAGACAACGAGCAGCGATATCTCCAGCAATGTTTGGCGTGGAATCGCTTCAATCAACACTCGTCAAGATTTTGAATCTTTGGAAATCTAACCCTACCTCGGTCTTTAAGTCACTCCCCCAATTTTCGAATGAGGTTCGGGATACGGCAAGAGCCATAGCCTGGTTGACCCCTATACTTGGCCTCGCCATGACAGTTGTGGAACTACACTCGAAGTTTTCCGGCATCAACTCATCAAACATTGTGGATGGTCTTCGCTCCTGGAAAGATGTCTTCAGCAGGCTGCAAAAGTCACTGGGTAATTTGCCCAAGTTACCTGAGGGCGTAACTTCACAGCTGCACGTAGAGACACTAAAGGAGGCATCTTCCTCCTTTGATAAGCTGAACACTGACCTTATGGGCTGGGCCGAGAGCCGACCTGACCTGTCATTCGTCCTGATGCAGATAACTCCCTGGGCCCACGTTAATGCTGAGCAAGCTGAGGTGTTGCAGTCTAAGAATACTCTCGCTATCGAGGAGTTCGATGACAGCCTACTCACAGCAATTGACAAGATCCTCATCAGCCTCCAGAAGCTGAAGGAGGTGCCATCACTGATTGTATCTCCGGGCTCATTGTCACGGAGCGACGAGTTCTTCACCAGAGCTTTGAAGGCTGTTCATTTGCCCGACATCATAAGCTCCCTGGAGTCAGTCCTGGACAAGTTACAAGGCCTCAAGACACGCTCAAATTCCGGCCTTGCTCCTGCTGTCGCATTGGTCGCAAGCTTGTTACCTATCATGAACAAGTATCGCAACATCTGTAAGGATCTCGTCGATCGCTATCTGACTGTGCACCGTGAGACATGCAAGATGTCATATTTGCTGGCCAAGTCATTCACTCAGATCGCGTCTGAGGGATTCTGTACTCCCGCAGAAGCGTCGACGGAAGAAAGCAAATCCGGCAAGCTGGAGAGTGGAACTGGTCTCGGCGAAGGACAAGGAGCCGAAGATATCAGTAACGATATTGGTGATGATGAAGACTTATCAGAGCTTGCTCAACAGGAACAGACTGAAGAGCCCAACGAGGATATGGACGAGTCAGGAGACGCAGTGAACATGGATCAAGAAGAATTACGTGGAGAAACAGGCGAACACAAGAAAGAGGATGATGAAGAGGACGCAAGCGGCGACGAAGAGGATGACAATATCGACGAAGAAGTAGGCAGTGTTGACGATCTTGAGGAAACTGCAGTTGATGAAAAGATGTGGGATGGCGCACACGATGAAGAGCAGAAGGAGACCGAGAACCAAGAAGGCAAGGGACAGTCTGAGTCTGATGAACAAACCGCTGCACAAGAGCGCAAGGAGAAGGAAGGAGAAAAGGGAGAGGGTAAGAACGAAGAAGATCAGGAAGAGGAAGAGGAAGAAGAAGCCCCAGACGATGAAGGCGAGGCTGTTGGGCGCGAGGAGATGGATGTCACAGATCCCCATGCCAAGGAACAAGATGCGCTCGACCTTCCGGAAGAGATGCAACTTGATGGCGATGAATTGGATAAAGACGAAGGAAATGAGAGTGACGATGGCCTCGACGATGATCTCGGCGACGATCTTCCTCCTGCTGAAGATGAGCAGCCATTCGATGGGAAAGAGGAAGAGGCTGTTGAAAACCCTGATCTGGATCAACAAGCAGAGGAGCAAGAGGGCGACCAGGGTGATGAAGAAGCGGCGGCTGAAGATGAAGAAATGAAAGAGGCCGAAGCCGAAGAGACGAACGAGCCCGGGGAAGAGGAACCAGAAGAGGCTCAACAGGATGATTTCTTAACTCAACGTGATGAAAACGAAGAGGCTGGCGAAGAAGTGGCACCAAGCGAGGCTGTTAATGGTGGACTCGGTGCCGACCAAGATCAAAATATGGACCAAGGCACATCTGGAAATGCAGAGCAGGAGAGTGGTTCTGCTGACCCGTCTGATGATAAACAACAAAAGACTGGTGCTGCCAACGAAGGAGAAGACAACGAGCGGCATAGAGATGCAGGCGGCGGGGATGATGGCAACCGTAACGATCCGCAGTTGCAGGCCTTCAAGAAAATGGGCGACATCCTCGAACAGTGGCATCGCCGGCAAAAGGAGATTATGGAGGCCTCTAAACAGGAAGAGGGCGAGTCGGATCAGCCGTTGCCTCAGGATACCGACATGGCTGATGCCGATTTTGAGCATCTTGCAGACCAAGATGACGTTGCTGATACCCAAGCGCTTGGTCAGGCTAATGAAGAGCAAACACAGGCTCTTGATCAAAATAAGGGTGTCGAGTCGGATGCCAAGCATGGCGACAACGAACCTTTGCCAGACGTTTCTGACGAGCTCCAGGAGACTCTAGAGAACAAGATGCAGGATGAGATGCAGCTGGATGCCGCTAGTGGGTCTAAGGACCACACTGTCGGTGCATTAATCCCTGGCAGCTCGCACACCCAGGAGCGAACAGCCGATGCCGCTGGCCAGCAGGAGGCGATTGAAGAACTCGATGAGGTAGACGCACAATTGGCGGCAATCCATCTGTCTTCTTCGCTCCCTCCACTTACACCTCGCGACGAGGCTCAACGGCTCTGGTCCCATTACGAATCCGTCACCAACGATCTCTCCCTCTCGTTAACGGAACAATTGCGTCTGATCTTAGCCCCGACCATGGCAACCAAGCTGCGTGGCGATTTCCGGACAGGAAAGCGACTGAACATCAAGCGCATCATTCCATACATTGCCTCACAGTACAAGCGAGATAAGATTTGGATGCGACGGTCAATTCCCTCGAAGCGTAACTACCAAATTATGCTTGCTGTCGACGACAGTAAGTCTATGTTAGAGAGTGGAAGTGGCCAATTGGCATTCGAAACGCTTGCACTCGTCGCCAAGAGTCTTAGTATGCTTGAAGCTGGAGACCTGTGTGTCCTCGGGTTCGGAAACGAGGATCACGTCAGAGTCGCACATGAATTCGGCAAGCCGTTCTCCTCGGAGGCCGGCACGCAGGTGTTCCAGCACTTCAGCTACCAGCAGACAGGTACGAACGTTCGGAAGTTGATCGCCGATTCGATCGCCCTGTTCCGCGAAGCTCGCTGGAAGCAATCACCTGGTTCGGGCAATGCTGATCTTTGGCAACTGGAGCTTATTATCTCCGACGGTATTTGTGAAGACCATGAGACTATCCAGCGTCTCGTGCGGCAGGCCCAGGAAGAACGTATCATGATTGTGTTCATCATTGTCGATGCTGTCAAGGGCAGCTCCATCTTGGATCTCACTCAGGCAAGCTTCGAGCCTGATACGGAGAGTGGTACTGGGGAGATGAAGTTGAAGATGAAGAGATATCTGGAAGGTTTCCCGTTCCCTTACTATTTGGTTGTGCGTGACGTTCGGGAGTTACCCGCTGTTTTGGCTACGGCGTTGAAGCAATGGTTTGCGGAGGTTGTTGATGTTTCTTCATAAAAGTTGCATTTTGATGTTTTGGGTATGGTTATAGAAAAGAGCTTTCCTTTTGTTACATGTATATAGTCTTCTTGTATGTGAATACTCGATAAAAATTAAGATCTTATTGACTTTCATACTACTTCCAGAAAACCAAGTAGTACCTACCCATAAATCCACAACTCCTATTCCTCCATGCAAAATTTGATTTGTACATATACAAAATTGGTATCCGATTTGAGAGATAAAAAAAAAATTTACCAGCCATACCTCGACCCAGCCTCCTTCTTGTTCCTTCTTCCAGATGCAAAACTCTCTTCCAAAGCTTCCCGCTGCGAACTTGCCGCATTGACCAGCTGTTGCAGCGTGTGTTTTCCAGGAGCAATGGCACGAACCGGATTGTGCTGATGCGCCGCCATATCGGTCTGATGCGCCATCTCTTGGTTAGCAATGTACTCCTTGTCGGTATTGAAATGGAGGATGCGCGACTTCGAGGCGTCCGCATTGCGACCAAAAAGGTGCCGTCGTTGAGACCGCGAAAGGTTCAGATCATCCGCGATATTATCCAACGTCTGCGTCGTTGCTGGTTCCGACGACGCAGCCGGAACCTGAAGCTCGCGCTCTACCTCTGGACCGGCCTCAGGCGCATCCGTATCCGCAGTATACACCAACGGCTCATATGTTGCGCTGTGCGCCTGAGGACCTGGACCAACACTCGTCGCAGATTCACTCGACCCAAGCGAGAAAAGACTCACTTTCGGCTTCGGCGCAGGTGGTTGCACAGGAACAGAAGTAGAAGCAGCAGGCTTACCCTGTTCCGAGACTGGCTCCTTCACACCCTGCGAAACCTCTGCAGCAGCCTCGACCGGCTTCGACGAAATAACCTTCTTCTTCTTCTGCGTCCCCCGTGCAACAGACAACGGTTTAAACATCATCGGATTCCCTTTCAACTTAACCTCCTCCGGTTTCTTCATCTGTAACCCACCGTCGCCACCATCCTTCAAACTCCCAGCCTTGGGAATCGTCCCATCATCATCATCATCCCCCGCACCACCAGGAGTACTTGAACCCGCCTGTTCCATAGCCCACTCATTTCGACTTTCCTCATCCAACCCGCGATCAAACCCCGGCGCAGCACCAGTCTTCAAACTAAACACCTTCCGCCCCGCCCCAACAACACCTTTCTTCTCCGCCGCGGCGGGAGCAGCAGCCCTTTTCGGCGCAGGTAAAAACGAATTGAACCCCGCGAACGCTCCCCCGCCACCTATCTTTGCTTTCTTCCGCGCGGGCCCGTCATCGTTGTCATTGGTTTCTTCCGGTTTGAGGTCCAGCGCGACGCGGATCTTGCGCGGGTTGCTGCTGTCGACGAGTTTGGGTTTTTGGGCGGCGGTGCTGGTAGGTTTTGTGGTTGTAGTGGTTTGCGGTGTTGGCTTTGTGGTCTCGGGCTCGGAGTCGGAGGCTTCGGAGTCGCTATAGGATACTAGAGCCATCGTTTTACTTTTTTTTTTTATATCTGTTGTTGAAGATTAATGGAGGGAGGTTGGAGGTTGATGGGAGTAAGTAAATGATTGATGGCGGCGATGAAGGCGGAAGGAATATCGGGGTTCTATTACCGTATTGAATGTACTGCACGGGCCATTGTATTTTATCATGAAGGCTGAGGCCGTAACCCAAGTTTATGTCTGCGAGGCTTGGCTTTGGGATGGTACTTTTGTACAAGAATGCGATTCAAAATTCAAATGGGTTTTTGATCTGATCGCAGAGTCAATTTGCTTTTTCTTTGCTTTGATGAATGTGTCCACTGTCTAGGAGTTCGTTGGTTGCGCTTGTATACTTGGTTACTGCATCCGCTTGTTATCTCTATGGCATATAGTCATGATGTCCATCAAATGTATACTTTCGATTAGTACACATCCGATAGGCGAAGAAAATGAATACATGAAGATATGAAGAAGAATAGAAGAAGGAGAACAACCGTAGCGAAAGTAACCACCTCGACCTCCGGGACATAGACTAGTAACACAAAATTCATGAACGAAACCCTCATAGCCTTTTATCACACTAAGCATATCTTAATTCCGGGAGACCGCGACCTAGACTCAAACGGAGTACAAAGAAACACAAGAGACTGACCAAACTCACCCAAACAAGAATGACATCATCCAAACCACATCCCATAACCGATGATCAATCAGATAAGATAAGAAAAAATGATCGGCTTACTCATCTCTGTTCAACTCTCACCTTTCAGCGCTTGAATGTTTTATTACATTCTTCGTCGCAAACTCCATTTCGCATATTTCTTTCATTTCATTCCCCACCTTGATATCTAACCTTTAATAGAAAAGAAATCATGCCATAAGCTAATTCTCACCGCATGTCCTCGAAACCATCAAAAACCGCAACAGCCAAAAACAATGGACCCCCCAGAACCAAACCCAACCCAAGAACCCGACAAGCAACCCAAATCAGGTAAATTCCGCTTCAAAACCTCAAAAGACAAGTCCAGGTCTCGACGAGACGACACAACCTCCACCCATCGTCACAGCAGCCACAGACATTCCTCCCACCGTCACAGACCCAAACGCCATCATCGGCGGCGCTCAGCCTCACCAAACCCCATTTACTCAGACAATGAACAACATCAACCAGGCCTCAACGCCGATGCAGCCTTCCGTGAATCTCTCTTTGACGCCCTAGGTGACGACGAAGGCGCCGCGTATTGGGAATCCGTGTATGGACAGCCGATTCATAATTATGCTGTGCCGAATGTACCCAAGGGACCTAATGGGGAGCTGGAGCAGATGGATGAGGAGGAGTATGCCAGTTATGTGCGGACGAAGATGTGGGAGCGTACTAGGGAGGGGATGCTTGCTGAACAGGAGCGGTTGAGGGCTGAGAAGATGAGGCAGAAGAGACGGGAGGAGAGGAGGGAGGAGGATATGAGGGAGAAGATGCGGTTTGAGAGGGCTATGGAGGAGAGTTTGAGGCGGGGGAAGGAGAGGCGGAGGGTTAAGGCTTGGGGGCGGGTTTGGGAGGAGTATGTACGGTCTTGGGGGGAGGTTGATCGGGCTGTTGATCAGGTTAGGGATGGTGGTGGTGGCGGCGGCGGGGAGGGGGTTCGGTTGAGGAATTTGATTTTTTGGCCAGTTGAGTCGGGGAAGAGGGGGGACGTGAGTAGGGAGACGGTTGAGGAATTCCTGCGCCATGCGCCGGGGGAGGATTTGTTGGCGGTTTTGAAGGCTGAGCGGGTGCGGTGGCATCCGGATAAGATTCAGCATCGATATGGAGCTTTGGGGATTGATGAGGTGGTTATGCGCAGTGTCACGGAAGTTTTTCAGATTATTGATCGTTTGTGGAGTGAGATGAAGGAGAAGCAGCTGTGAGCTGGTATACCCCGATTGGTTGGTGTTGAGATTTGCATTGTGGTGGCGTTCTGTGTTTCCATATATATGATACCCTGGTTGAGAACTGGACTACTACTAATACTACTACTACTCCTCCTCCTCCTCCTCCTCCTCCTACTGGGAGTGCTGGAGGTGCTATATTAGGCTGTAAGGATATGCTTGATGGAGAAATACTGGGGGTAAGCCGAAATAGACATGATGCCTTTCAATGTACATCGAGGAGGTACAGTAGTCGCGCCGAAGTTGTTCTTGCGGGCTTCCACAAAGTTGTCAATTATAGCCACAGTATCTGCTGATTTCATGGTCTGATGTAATGGCTCAACTGTCGGCATGCCCAATAACCCAGCTAGTGCAGGAGCTGAGTTCTCCAGTGACTTGATATAATCTAGATCATACGGCAGTCCAGGTTACCCCTTGCGGGTTTGGTTGTAGCTGCCATTCTTGCGTTCAAGGATCTAGACTCAAGATCTTATATTAGCTGAATGGGTTGATAGAGGAAGACTGAGGAAGAATATTGCAGTGTTTTGATCTTGAAGTGAATGTATAGAAATAAAACACAAGATTACTATCCATGTTGGGCCTGTTCATGACATTCGTGACAAGCGCATAATTTGCATTGGACTGATATAAAGCTCCAAAATTCGCATGCTTCATCAACTGTAGGACTCGTGAAACTTTTGTTCGTCACAATATATTGGAATCTCCAAGTAACAACACGGCTATGCAATCACGTAGAAACAGAACACCATACTGGTTTTTTTGAGTTTTCTTTCTTTTTCCTGAATATCTTCCCTCACCGTCGCTTAGAACCTCGAGTATCTCTGCTTGTTCCGGTACATGGTGAACCCAACGTAGCAGCCTGCAACAGCAACAAAGAACAGAACAGTCTTGAACAGGAACCCGCTCCAGCTTCCCTTTCTCTTCTTGGTCTTCTTGACGCGGCCGCTGTCGGCGTTCGGTCCACGGCTAGATCGGCTGGAAGGTCCAACACTGTAAAGGTTCTGCGATTTCACCGAGACAATGTCATGGTTGTCGCTCAGTTCACCGGTCTCGCCAGAGAAGCCCAGGTACGCGACAGACGGGATAGCGATGTTGGTGTCGGGTGCGGTCAGGGTAAAGCAGTTGGTCCAGCTGTCTTCAGACTTGTACTGCAGGTCGAGAGTCAACGACTTGTCCTGGAAGTACGTTAAACGGGCTTTGGTGGGGATCGAAGCGCCTCGCAGACCACGGGCCTAATCTTGTTAGCAGATAGCTGCGTTACTCTGATTTTCAGTACTTACGGAACAACCAGCCAATTCATTGGCCTTGCCGTCATGGGCCTGGTCATAGCTGGTCTGTCCGTCGCCCATCATAGCCATGACGTAAGGGAACGAGGTACCGGGTCGGTTGTTCTTGTAGGTGTCGAAGAAGATACCGAGACCCTCGAAGTTATCCGTTGATCCAAAGACCGGACCCTGAGTGGCGCGCTGCTTGGTGAGCCACATGGCAAAGCCATCGCCGTGCAGATTACCATCTCCATGAAGCTTGAATTCGACCTCGATCTACACACATGTCAGAAACGATTCTTCGTCACTATGGCCGACAGGACGAACTGACCTCCCAGTTTGTCGCAGTAAGGGGAACACGGGAGAAGATCCATCCCTGCTGGGAGGGTCGATCGGCCGTAAGACGGATGTATCTGCCATTGTTCAGCCCTTGCTCCTCTGAGACCGCATTGTGGGTGGGGTGAAGTACTTGTCTGCGCGGATTATCGTGTCACCACCAAAATCGAACCAGCGGCTTTGGAAGTCTGAATCAAGGTATGGCTGTCATCGCGTTAACAGAGCTGTGTCAAGAGCGCGGAAATCGACCTAGTCGAAGCTGCTGTGAATGAGTTATAGGATGGGACCCACCGGAGCGAGACTGTGAGTGCGAAGCTATTGACCCGGTTAGTTAGTGCGCGATCGCCATACGGTCGAGTGGGTGTGAAGGCGTACTGGAATGCTCTTGATGTTCTCGTCGCCGTCGTAAGCATTGGCCACTGGCATAGTCGCCAGGCCGGCAAGACACAAGAGAGAAGAGAGCCGCGGGAGCAGCATTGTGAGGCAGGAATTGGTAATGAGCTTTAACAAGTTGCAGATACAAACGACTGTGACAGCAGGGAGGTTCTGATAACTATGAACGACGGACTGCAGCTAACGAAATGGGGTCCTCTCCACCAGCAAGGCGTAGATAGTTCAATGTCACCGGGACATGCACAAGCTCCGAACTCAATTGCAAGAGACGGAGGACAAAGTCAATCGAACGGCAGGTCGACGACCGGAGAATAATAGAGAGGAATGTCAGAAAGAGAACGAAGGAGTGAAGAACGGAATGGAAGAAGAGCGGTGCCGAAGCAAACTGTCAGAAAGGAATACTATGTAGACTGGTCAGAGATCGACGTCAGTAAACATGCAAACAAGTGTCCACATCGCAACTGTGGCGCAGTCAGCCCCCGGCGGACGGACGCGCACCAGCCACAGGTCGGCCATCGCCCGCGGACTGGAGGTTCAGATCCTGTGACCGGCCCGTGACCTCAACAATTACTCGTATCGCTGATTTGCCTTCCCTGCAAACCACATAATTCCGCCTTCATTCCCTTCGTCTTATATCTCTATACACCAACACGATGGCTCTCTTCGGTTCCGGCTCCAACAATGCTGCTTCCAACCCGCAGGAGGTCAAGACTGCCATCATCAAGCAGCTCCAGCAAGAGGCCGCCATGGCCAATGCTCGGAATCTGATCGGAGTATGTGCAGTTTCTCGCTTGCGGTCAGCGTCTAGCTTCTGACAACAGTATAGAAAGTGAATGAGCACTGCTTCGACGCCTGCATTCCCGCCCCCGGCTCCTCCATCACACCCAAAGAAGAGACCTGCCTCTCTCAGTGCATGGAGAAGTACATCTCGTTCTGGAACACCGCCAGCCGTACCTACGTCTCTCGTGTTTCCCGTGAAAGCAAGCGTCTAGGCGGCGCTGAGAATCTCGCCATGATGGCTACTCCCACCGACACCAGCCTGTAAATTAGCGTTGGAGTTTATAGGCAATTGGAAACATTCTATAGAGGGTAATCGGAAGCGCGATCGGTTTCTCAAACTTTTTTTTATGGACGTTAGCTTGGGCCTCCCGCAAACTTTTTATTTGTCGCTTTTTTTTTTCTCCTTTCATAACTTGGGGGATGTATAGTTGGAATGGTGTACGATAACGGCGCGCGCTTTGCGGTAGATTGGGTGTCCCGTATCAAGCGAGTTGGAAGGCAACGGCAACGGATCTGTGGTGGCAGACAGGGGTCCACGGACAGTGTGTCTGAAGCATACCAAGAGATGCGGTATTCACAGGTTCATAGCCTACTTTTATTGCATTTGAAAGATATGTACATTATACAGGTCTCCAACAAGAGAAATGAACGAAGCAACCAAGTAGCATCCCAATACTTGTAACTATTGTAAAACCACGATGCGAAAAACAAAACAGTCCAGTCGATGCAAACGATCGACTCGGCGGAAGACCCCGGAGTAGAACCAACCCCGAAAGCACCTGATCCTTATTTCAAAACCAAACACAAGTACTGGAGATTCAGTTGCCTCGATGCTCGTGAAAGCAATCCATATCAATGGAGGCCGAGGTACGTGGAATGCGGAAGCGTGGGAAGCCCGCACCAGATATACAGAGGTAGATGCTCCAATAAAACGACGAAACAGAGAATCCCAAAGGTCAAGTCGGCCAGCGATCATCCAGACAATCGAACCGATCGAGAAGACAAATATGTAAAAGTAATAGCATGGTTGTTTTTCACTGCTGCTATTTCTGTGGCCCAGTCAACCAGGCTAAAAGACAAGGCATCACTTTCCATGTCTTTGCATAGAGGTACTCCATTGCCTTTACTCTAGACAGCTATGGTGAAATGATCATTTCATCATGACTCGTAGAAAAAGTTAGAAGTCGGGGAATAAATGGCCGTGACTAAGTTAAGTTGTGATCGTCAGTAACGCGGACGAAAATACACCGAGCAGGTTGCACATACATGTCTTCGCCGCCTTGACCGTAGGCTTCCTGTTCTTCCGGGTAGCGGTCATACTGGCTTGCATCACCTTGTCCTCCCCGAATCGGTGGTACATAGGGAGCATCAATGTCTTTCCTGGCCAGCCGGTCCCAGGTGACCTCGGCGAACCATGGATGATTCTTGACGTCTTCCGGGCCACCATGTAAGTTACCCAGGCGCTTGGTTAGGTCTGCCGTGATCAGTTGGGAAAGTAGGTCCACGGCATCTGGGTGCAGGTAAGGTGGGTATTTTACCCGACCTCGGAGAATGTTTTCATAGATCTTGACCGGCGATCCGCTGTCCCAGAAGGGTGTGAAGCCACACAGCATTTCGAAGATCAGGATTCCAAGGGACCACCTTCACCATGTCAGCGGGGTTCCCCATAGGGGTGCTCCCAGGATAAGACCGGACAGTAAGACTTACCAGTCCACCGACTTGTTGTAACCCTTGGATGAGACAACCTCGGGAGCCAAATAATCGGGCGTGCCACACAGGGTCCAGGTAATGTCGGGCACCTCCTTCGCAAAACCGAAGTCTGTGATCTTCAGATGACCATGCCGGTCGAGAAGTAAGTTCTCCGGCTTCAGATCTCGATAGATAATCTGATGCGAGTGCAAATATTCCAGCGCAAGAGTGACTTCCGCGGCGTAGAACTTGGCCACGGGATTAGGGAATCGCTAGACGGGGGACCCCCGGGTCAGCGTACACGTCGGAGCAACGAAGACGGGAGGATCACCCACCTGAGACTTGCGAAGCAGACTGAAGAGTTCACCTCCCTCGACAAAATCCATGACCATGTACAGATTTCGCGAATCCTGCCATGTGCCCCACAAGGTGATCAAGAACGGATGTCTGACGCGATTGAGCATTCGCCGCTCGTCATTAGTATGCTCAATCTGCTTCATCTTGACCACCTGGGCCTTCTTTAAGACTTTGATGGCATAGAAGCGGTGGTTGTGCTTAGACTGCACAAGATGGACTCGACCAAAGCTACCGGTGCCCAACGTGCGCTGGAGGCTGAAATCTTCGAGAGAGTACTTGCCCTTGGTGGTTCGGGTCTGCGATTGTTGAGAACCTCCGCCGACCGACTGGCCGCTCTGATGGGATGAATGAATTATATTCTGTATACTGGCGACATTATGAGAGTTGGTGTGGTGGTGACCATGGTGATGGTGGGCCGAGGGTGATTGCGTCACGGCGGATTGCATGGAGGATGGTTGACCCTCGGGGTGGCTTCGATTAGTGCCTGAAGAGCGATTGTGATGATCGTGGGACGATTGGTGAGGTTGCGCAGAGGTATAAGCAGTGTCGGGGGAGGTGGCAGTAGTAGTGGGATGGGATTGGTGGCTGTGGTGATTCTGGTTTGGTGACGTCTGCGTCTGGGCCGCTGTGGGTGACGAACCGGCTTCAAGCTCTTTACTGAGGGTCTGCGAATCCTTGGTCCGCCGTTTTTTCAATAAGCCTCCTAAGCTCGGCATGGAGAACTAAAAAAGAAAATATTACCTGATTGTGAGATCAGGGAAAAAAAACAAAAACACAATGGGGGTAAAGAGAGAAAAAAAAAAAAAGAATCAAAATAAAGCCCGAAAATGTAGATGGGATGTTTGTGAGATTTCACGCAAAATGGGATTAAAAGAGGGTTCAGAAATCAAGCTTAACCCCTCTTTCGATCTTCCCTTTTTTTGCTTCCTGGCGAAGGAGGGGAAAAACCGCCAGCAACGAAACGTTACGCCTCTTTTTTTGTACGGTTCCGAGCAGCGGATACAACACGGGGAGGGAACTTCGCCGTAGTCACCGAGAAGCGGTCAACCCCAAGCTTGCAATTGGAATCCAAACAAATTCCAAGACGAACTCGTGTCAAACGACTCTAGTGGTTGTGTTTCGTCGTGTTTTCCTCCGTTAGTTGATTTGCTTTTTATCTTTCAAACCCGGTGAAACTTTCAGCCAAGACACGATAATCGAGTGAGGGGAAATTGAAACGTCAACGTTCCGTAGGGAAGAAGAGGAAGAGTAATGATTCGAGATGCAGTTAATTAGTTTGGTTGTTTGGGCGGAGAGGAAAATTGACCCAGAAGAGCAAAGCGCGGGGGGGCGATTCTAATTTATCGGAAATGCATCTGTCTGTGAGTCTCCTCTTCTCTCTCTCTCTCACTCTTCGTCTCTTTCTTTCTCTCTATACCTAATCCGTAGCTTCTTACATACAGGCCCTAACATCAATGGGTTTTTTACCACCACGAGTTATACCTCGAACCCCCCAAACATAATCTATAAGAAGAAAAACACATCTCAAACCAGCCCCACTTTTTTGCTCTTTTTGTTTTTGTTTTGTTTCTTTTTTTTTTTTCTCCCGTATAGAGAAAAATAGAAAAGAGAAATAAAAATTAAACCTTGAAGTTTAAGACAAAAATAAGGAAGGAAAGGAAAAGAAACCCCTCTCAGTAGAATGGATGTTTCATCAACACTCCAAAAATGCGTGCCGTAGTTGTCGAAGATCACGACACTCGGGATGGATGACCACTCGGAAGAGATCCAATGAACGCTACGTTCCCTCTGTCCGGGGTCATTCGACATCCCCATGAACGGAAGTCAAATAACCCATAGAACATAAGAATCAATCGATAACTACCAGAGATCATGAATCATCAAGATCACTGTGGATAAGAGAGACCCTCAAGCTTTCCGCTCCCCGGCCCTATGAGATCACCACTTTATCATACCCGACGAAGTTAGATACAGAGTATACTGTCTCCTACGAGTAGTCTGGTGTCGCATCAAAACCACGAGATGGTATAGAATTGCCTGTCTTCTTCGATACAGAATTCATGGTCAGACCATATCCTACTCCAGATAACCTACTAGTATCTCTCTCCCCATCAGTCCATCAAAATGATACCACAAATTGGGCACTGTTCAGGAAGTACTACTAACCAGACGGGACTAGTCCTGCATCGTGACCTCATCATTCAAAGACAAGTGGATCGGCGGAACGCCCCGCTCTCTTCGGAGATTTCCCTTCTCGGCCGTTAACTCGATTAGTAGTGGATTGGCTGGAGCTTCAGTAGGTACGTAGTAGTGTCCAATGTCCACTTAATAGTAATGCCCCCAAAGGAAATAAGTCAGATATGGAGAAAATACTCAATATAGAATGTCGCTTTTTAACTGAGCGTGGTCCTTATGTTGGGTTGGAACTACGAAAGGTTACGCCGACATATCTAGAACGTGATCATGTCTTGGGTATTGCCTGTCTCTATACAGCAAATGATATGTCGTTTCACAATATCAATCGTCTCGACGTCGTTCTGAGATGTCCCCGATGGAATGGGACAGAGGCTAAATCCGATAATGTGCCATGTTCTTCTTGATTTCATCCACAATCTCCACCGCTTCCAGTGCGTTCCGCGCCTCAAAGTCATATCGCTTCTGCTCGTTCGCATCGTTGCCACGAAGCACAACCACCCGGAAGTTCTTGGGATGGCGACGGCTCACCTTGCATCCAACGACGTCGTTGAAACTAATCGACCGGGTCTTGGTGTCCGATCCAGTCTTCGCAGTATCCCCCGGCATGATGTGCATGTAGTCATTGTCAAACGTGAGAATCTTGTGGTTCGAGGCAGTGAAAGACATGGATTGCTTGCGGAACACGTGGTACCGGCGATAGTAGCCCCCAATGAGGTCCTGCTGCTGCGCCAGTGGATGTAACATGCGCGGTCCGCCCTTCTTCCCTTTCTTGCTCGACGGCACAGTGCCACTGTCAATTTGAAGCGGTGCATTGGGGGAAGAGCTGCCTGGAGAGCCAGTCAAAGACTGGGGCCCAAATCGCCGGCGCACGAGATCCAGATCGGTAAGGTTCCCCAGAGCTTCCACGGTGCGGTCTAAAGGCGCGATCGTATTGGATCCCATCACCTTCAGGAGGTAATTCCCCTTATCTAAGCCCCAGCGTTTGCATACCGAGTCCAATATCTCCGCGATGTAGCTGTCAGTGGACGTATTGAGAGTCGTGACTTGCGTAGAGCCCTCGATATTGATGAAGCGGATCTTCAGGGTCTTCGAGACCCCCAGGCGCGGCGTAGCATGCGACGTTGGCACCGCAGGCCGATCGGCCGGCGTGAGCGTATTATCATTCAGGGCCGACGAGAACGGTTGGCCTAAGATCGGATTGGGTCGAGGCGCTTTGTTTTGAGAAGTTGGTTGGGCGGAGGGAACATTGAGAGCTGACGCTGCATCATTGGTGTCTTCAGGAGGAACTGCTTGGCTCTCCGTGGGGAACTGGCGCTCATTCTCTTCAAATTCACTATCGGAAGCCTCCACCAGCGCAAATTCATCGTACTGTTTCCCTCTCCCTCTCCCTCGTGCCCCAGCTGCTCGATTGTTATTCGACGTAAAATCCGTAATTTGTGACGTTCGTCCTAAGGCAGGGAAGTCATATTCCACTTCGCCGTCTTCCACCATTCGAAGCGCCCATCGGTTAACAGTCAATTTGTTACGTTCAATGGCAGGTTGGCGACCTTCTTCCGAGTATCGCCAGAGTGCCAAACCGATCGCCTCAACCACGGTGACGGGAGCTGGTTGCTCCGCGAGTTTAGATTCTCGGGCAATAGGAAGGTCAATCGGCTCCTCCGGGTCAGAAGAAAACGGCAAATATAACTTGATATTCAATGCATCAGTAAGGCCTTTGCCCGATAGCACCGCAAATTTCTCGACCGGATTGGTCGGTGCACGTTTGCGCGCGTTGAGTGCCTTCGATAGCAAACTAACGGGTTGTACTGTGCTAATGGGCCGCGGTGGAGGCAAATCTTGCAATTCGGGAGCCGGTGTCTTGGCCTTCCTAGGAGATGCTGTTTGAGATCCTGTTCCATTCGGCAACTTGTGCATCATCATGGGCGATGATGAATCTAGGCTTCCAGTGATACCGACGCCCACCAGGAGCGATGCAGAACCAGCCGTGGCATCGAAATCGGATGAAAGTGCCGAGTCCTCGGACTCAGCTCCTGAATCTTCCGGATGCTCATCTAGTCCTCCAAGATTCCTACTAGTAGCTCCCCTGCGCCGGTTACTAGTCAACTCTATAACCTGATCCTGACCAGAAAACTGAATCTGCTTCCGCGAAGCCAAGGAGCCCATCTCATTATCCGAAGACATGTCGCTGCTGGCGGTCGTAGTTGTATCTCGCCGTGGCCGCTCATTCACACTAACAGCGGTTCCTAGCGATCCCGTGCGATAATGCATGCCCATCGTGGGGTGAGAGGGAGATGTGACCATAACTTGTGGGCCTTCTTGACGATCAATTGAACGTATTGGAGAGGATCCGGCTCGTGTCCGTATTGGCAACTTAGGAAATTTAATCTGTTGGGAAGCCCTGCAATGGATTAGCACAAGAATGCAGTCGGAGAATATAAGAACCTCAAATCACTCGTATCGACCAACCTTTGACTATCCACATCATCGTCGCTCTCATCACTCAGATCACTGCTGTCATCCTCCTCCGCATCTCTTTGCTTATAAGAATCGTTTTGCTGTCGCTCCTTCCGATGGGTCCTTTTCCCAGCACGTCCATGGGGCCGGCGTCCTATCACTTCCGTAGAGCTTTTGCCCGTCACCATACCCCCTTCATCTTCTTCGCCATCCTCCCCTAAACCAAGTCTCTGGGCTTCGTTCGCATCCCTAGAAACGCCTAGCTGGTAATACTCTGAAGTAACCGCAGCGGTGGTGGGAATCGGAGGAGAATACGTCCGGCGAATATGGGCTGCTACGCTTTGTGCGCTGGGGTTTGTTGAGGCCGAGGACCAGCCCGCTGCGCGAAATCCAGGAGTATTGAGAACCGAGTTATTCACGTTGATGAGTCTGTCGCCTATTCCGTCTTTTATCGTGGACAGATAAGAGGTGCGCAGTTGCCATATCGTAAAACTACAATTCTTTTAGTACTAAATTCTTGGTATGAAGGGCGATCGCGGGGAAGGTGGCGGGAGCAGCTGCGAGGTGCGGATCACTAGACGTACTCTTCATTGTGAAGGAGAGACATCTTCCCACGGCTTTGAGTAAATGTTGAGAGGATATAGATATCAAACTTTGGCGGCGATCAGGAATATTGTAGGTTTAAGGTAGACACCGTATAGTCGCTGGTGGTGCTCGTCTGGGCATGATTCTTAAGTACTGCGTTGAGAGTAAAATAGATGCGCTGCACGTGGTCAGCGACAAAGTGCTCAAATGAAGGTTCGTTCTCAAACAGGACCAGCCCGATGTAGAGTAAAGGGAAGATAAACAAGGAAGAGACAATAAGGCCGTGAAGGGAGTTGGCGAAGGGTTAGTGCTGAGTAGCGGAGAAGGAAGAGCAGCAAATTGCGGGTTCTCCCAAGACAATCTCCGCAGATAAATCAGCCAAGAAACATGGATGTAGATAATGCGCCGCCGATCCTTCGTAGATTATTTGTTTATATTAATTAGATTGACTGCTACATTATTGGCACGAAATGATGGTGTTTGATTTAACATAGTCATCGTTCTAATATAATACAAGTACTTAACTACTAATGACCATTACACCTGGTGTGGTTTCCAGAAGGAAAGAGAGGTTCATCTCACCAAACGTTCACGGTGTAAGAGTGAGACGCACTAAGCCTTAGCCTTGCGACCTCTCCCTCTCTTCGGTTTCTCGTCATCATCAATAAAATCATCGTCGGCGGCCTTCTTAGCCTTCTTCCCTTTGCCTGAGCCGCCCTTCGCCGCGGATTTCGAGGCTGGTTTCTTTGGTACCCGGACATATTTGTCCTTCTTCAGGTCTAGTTCTTCACTTTCATCATCCTCTTTGGTATCATCCTCGAGCACTTCATCATCCGACTCATCGATTGCATCTTCAATATCGGGCTTGTCCTTTGGCATTTTCTTTGGAGCAGCGACGCTGCTAGCCTTCATGAAGGGAAGTGGGTGCGAGCGCTGATTATAGAGTCGTGTGAATGTCGCTTTCGTCTGTGTATCTAATTTCACCATTGATTGATCCATAGGGCCAAGACCAAGCTCGACCAGAGCATCCCAGTCATCCCGGGTGAGGAAATAACTGTCCATGAAATCAATGACGTCCTCAACACCTTCTTTTCCGTCTTTCATCAACCGGCGAACAAGCTTATCCCAGATGAGGGGTAGATATTGTTGTCTGATTTCGTCACGGTCCCCGGAGGCACGAAGGCGCATGTGGCCCTGGATTTCCCTGGTACAACGCCAAAGTTTCCCTGTAGTTATTCTGTTAGCAAAATAGATATAGAAGTGGTTGAAGGATACATACCTTGTTTGCTGTTCTGACCTAGCCAACTAGTGAAGCCAGCTCGCTCGGTCATATTGCCGTAAGCGAAACTGGCGGGACGAACAAAGCTGAAGACAGCGTGGGTTGGCATCAGACTCCATTGCTGTTGTGTTCCATGGATCATTCTGTCAACCAGGTCACCGTCACTGATGCTTGACGCTGCATTATCCGCTAACTCGAGCAACTTCAACTTTTGCTCTTTGCCTTGATAATTACTGGACAAGGCTGGCCTTGTTCTCAGGTAGTTCTCTTGAAGCATCAAGTAGCTGAACTCGTGATCATTGAAATAAAGTTCGATCTTGTCGTTCAACGTCGCTTTGGAACTTGGAGAGAACATCTGAGCACTGAGGATTTTGGACACGATGTCCCAAGGCTTCAGGATGACATGCTTTTCCCAGGCCTTGGACATCTCCCGCCCCTTCTCAAAATTCAGATTTTGCTGATCCAACTTCACAGTCGACAGCATATTAATAACTTGACGAATGTCGGCATGCGTCCCTTCGATGAGACTATCGAGAACAGGGGGGGGGATCTTCAGACCCTCTCGGAAACAGATCGTTGAGAGTCTAGCCCTGATCTGTTCAGCAGTCGGACGTCTAAAGGGTAGCTCATACGTAACGTGATCGAAAGGCTTCATTTTCGGAAGCCTACGTTCGTTACATATGAGGATGAGTGGGATGTGAGTTTTCTTTGCAATAGCAGCCAACGCCCCAACACCACCTCGGTCTCCAGCTGACATTCCATCTACCTCATCCATGATCAATACCATATTTTTTTTTTCTCTGTGCACCTTTTGGCCATCAGCGGCAAAATAACCTTGCAGGGACGTTGTATCCAAGACACCCAAAAGACCGGTTTCAACGAGCTTTTTGCTTCTCGTGTCACTAGCATTAGTTTCGACGATATCGTAGCCTTCGAGCTTCGCCACAAGATGTGCTGCGGTTGTTTTACCGATTCCTGGAGGGCCGTGGATCATGACCGCGCGGTAAATTCCAGTGCCATCCTTACCAGGTTTCGAGAAGTTCCCCTTGGCATTCTTGTGCCAATCCCGAAGCCAACTTTGAAGTTTCTCGACAGCGGTTTTATTGCCACAGATCATGTTCATTGACGTTGGTGCATACTTTGTGGTCCAGAGCTCATCCTCAGGCCTGGGGCCTTGCGAATTTGATGGTGCCTGGGGTCCCGCGGGCGCCTTAGCTGACGCTGCACTAGCAGCCTTCGCCTTGCGCTTCTCTTCCTGTTCAATTTCAGCAGCCATGGCTCGAATTTTCTTGTCTTCTGCCTTCCTCTTTTCTTCATATTTTTCAGCGGCTTTTCCGTCGCCGCCATTGGCTGGCAGTCTTCGGATGAGCTCGAAGAGACCCTCTTCATTGATTGTTTTCAGGTTATGGTCCCTGATCGTCTTAAGCTTTTTGGGGCCGGCATCGCCTCCGAGGACAACGTAGCTTGTCTTTGAACTCGGAGCTCCAGTAACTTTGCCGCCATATTTTTTGACTAGGATTTGTCCTTCTTCACGACCCAAAGTGTCAAGGACGCCGGTGAAAACAAAAGACAACCCTGCAAGACAGTTTTCAGCCCCAACCGGGATTTCAGCGGTTCCGGCTGCCGCGGGGGAGCGCGCGCGTGCAGCGAAAGGGTTAAACTTCTTCTTGTCTCCAGATTCGGGTGGGGGTGAGGGTGGTCGGACAGTTGGGATACTGTTAAAGATGTCCTGTATTTCCTTCCTTTCGGGCTGGTCTTTCTTAGACGGAGACCCCTTTGGTTTTTTGGGCGCACGAGCCGTTGACGATGCTTTCGAATGTGAAGTACCCTTCTTAGGGCTTTCCTGGGGCTCATCGTCCTCCTCCTTACCCAGGGCTTCAGATTTCCGTTTCCTTCCAGGCTGTGAAGCGGCCGATTTTGTTGCTCTCTTCGACGGTTTTGGCGCATCCTCCATAACTACATCATCGTCATCTGAGTCTAACTTCGAGGCTGGCTTCCTACGACCAGACCTACTTGAAGCTGCAGTAGCCGGTTTCACTGCAAGTTCCTCGAGATCGCTATCCTTTTCACTGTGCTCATCCTCAACATAATCATCATCTCCTTTACCTGGCTTTCCAAACTCCGTTGCAAATATGTCATCATCGCCGAGTTTTTCATCATCTAGGACAGTCGTAGCTTTCCTCTTAGATTCGCGCGTTGGTCGCTTGGGGGTCTCCTTTTTCTCGGTCTGTTTATTCGCTCGCGGCGATTTGCTGGCTTTGCCCTCTTCTGAAACAGCGTTATTGGGGGGCTGAGTCTCCGCAGCGGGCATCGCAGTACTGGTTTTGGCCGGCCTTCCTTTCTTCTTACTGGAGGCGAAGTAGTCCGAAGTGGTCGTTACCTCCCCTTGCGGTGCCTCGGGTTTCCTTCACGGGGATGGTCAGTGGATGAGCCAGCAGGTTTGAGCAGGTACTTTGCAATGCATACGGCTTTGTTGACTCCTTAGCTTTGGTGGCTGGCGCCTTGGTCGCTTTGATATCGTCCTCATCATCACTGTCATCCACAACTTTCCTCCCGCCTATATGACCGGTTAATGAAGGCGCAAGTGAGTAGGGCGGTTGACGTCTTACGTCTTTTCCTGCCAGCAGGTTCCTAAGAGAAATTCATGTTAGTTTGATTCAACGAAATTACAGCCTGCATCGCAGAACCCGAAAAGTTGATTTGGCAGCGGAGCCTTCCATACCTCTTTCTTTGCGGGCGGCTTAACAGGAGAGGCACTAGAGCCCTGACTGCTACTCGGCTTGCCACCAAAAAAGCTCCTGATATCAGCAGGCATGATGATTTATAGAAATTTCAGAGCATGCCATGGACAGACAGAAGGTGAATTAGGGATGATAAGTGCAGATTTGAACCAACAATGCACCAAGCGCTCTTAGGAAATGACCATAATAGGCAACTAGATCGGAAAACACGACGCGCTGCCTTGAGCTATCGTCGCCGACGTGAACTTAATTGGCTTACGTAAGGAACACGCGCATGGTCCGTGCCCAAGCTCGTTTTACCAGTTTAGGACTGGGGGAAAATCGGACTTGCAGATACGCCGATAGTCTGGAAGTCTTCATCCAACATCGCTAATTCGCTACGAAAAGGGCCTGGCATCAGATCTCACCATGGCCTCCACGATGAAGATGTTCTCGGGGCCTCAATTGGCCCTTTTTCGGCCTACCTGTACGTCGGATTTCTTTCCATAAGAATTTTTCTTTACAGGGCCGGAAGGCTGACCGTCTCAACATTAGGTTTATCCACAACTTTTACGGCCTCTCCGCTATCACGATGCTTCTCTACGACCTCTCCGGCTCTTGACTGGCTTACTCCGAAATTCATGGAAACGTCGAAGTCTCCCAAGGGTCGCCCCCATGTTGCGACTGGCGGTTCTTCTCGCGGTACAACTGTCGTTTGGGGTGACTACGGCTTGCGCATGAAGGACCATGACCGCCGACTGCCGGCTTCGTCACTCAAGATCGCAGAAGAGACCATTAAGAGACGTTTAAGAGGAATGAACTATACGCTTTACAAGCGTGTGAGCGCCAACATCGGTGTGTACACCAAGGGTAACGAACAGCGTATGGGTAAGGGTAAGGGAAAGTTCGACTACTGGACGGCGAAAGTCGGTGTCAGCAGAATCGTGTTTGAACTGAAGGGCGATATTCACGAGAAGGTCGCAAGGGAGGCTTTCAGATTGGCTGGCCACAAGTTGCCCGGTAAGCATAGCTCTCGCTCTACAAACGGGGCGGTAACGGTTCCATGCTAACAACGCATTCCGGTCTAGGCCTCTGGGAATTCTGTAAGAAGGGCGACCCCCCTGTTGTCGGCTTGACGAAGCTCGGCAACGGCGTGACTCTGGAGAGTCTGAAGCGCCCCCGCCGGAGCCCAGCCCTGGGCACAGCAAACATGTCTACGCCACCCAGTTCGACCTCGTCTAGCCCCTCTGCTTCTCAATAAATGAATCGCATAAATTCCATTTGACCGTAATAGTACAATATCTGCGCGCGGCAAATCCTAAGCGCCAACGCCGGAACCAGGTCCATATCCCTGCTGTCTCCTACTCCTCGCTGCTTCTGCATCGCCATCTTGGGTTTCGGGCTTGAGGTCTTGTGTATATTATCATCAGCTTTTGGTTCTTTCTTGAATGTTTTATTCCCACATGTGTCGATGTCTTATACACGGAGTTAGATTGAAGGAAACCAAAGATCAACTGTACCTTTATCCACTTCTCCCATGACACCGCTTTGTCCTGAAAATCTCCTTGCCCATTCGGCATCCTCATCTTCCACCTTTGAACTGGTATCCGGATCCCAGAGACGCATCATTTCACTCCTCGTATGTGGCATGTTTGCTTAGGGTAGTCAGTTCCAATATTACTCCGAATAAGACATGGTGTCCCCGCCAAACAGAACCAACATACCACCTAATTGACCAGTTTGCTTCGCCGGGGTCTCCGTGAACTCTCGAATAGATTCATACCTTCATGTATGGTTAGATGAAATCCGCGAAAAAAGCAAATAATTAGGGAGAAAAGAAAACTGACTGAGTACTCTCACCACCCGGTTCAGTATCCATCAGCCTAGTATCCGACATAATCTCCAAGGCCTGGTGTAATATAGAATAAAAGAACTTCAAAGTGAATTCCTGTTACAAAGGTACGTTCGAAATTGGTCCAAACTTTGCTAAACCAAAGTAGTTCGGCAGTGGCTGGCCCTCCCAATTTATAGAGGAATTGTATGACGTAGTCTATCATGTCCGTCTTCAACCTTTTTCCCCATGGGGAAGACCTTGGTCCTAGTGGACGACGACATTCTAAACTACTACGTAAGTTTCGATCCCGATTCCTAAGCGGGCACTGAAGCTTTTGCTTGCAGATATTACCGACTTATTTTGCGATACTCTACAGAAACGCCGATCGAACTCATCAAAACCTGAATCTGTATCCCGCCGCAGAAACCATGCAATGCGCGCCTCCCAATTAAGGCTGCTGTCACATATTATACAGAACAATCATAAATCGTGGATTACTAATTTTTCTTCGTTTTCTACGGTTTAGAAGTCCATGCCCATCAGGTAACTGTGTGTATTGTTAGTGTGAATGCTTGGCTGTAGTGTGACTAAGGAGTCAAACCTTTCATATATACGCATGAATTTGGCAACAAAGGCCTCAAGGTGGAAGATTACTTTCTGTAAGGTGGGTCAGTATCCTTGGGTGTTTGCAGTTGGGATCGGGATTCTTACGCTTCCTTGTGTCACTCTGTGCTCGTAGAATGCAGACCATTTAACAATGTCGGGCTTCAGAGCGTCGTCTACCTTGGCGATGAGCTTGAAGGTGAGGGTCTAAGATACTAGTCAGCGCTGACCGGATAATTCTTGATCGCTTTGTAGTCAGACCTTGATAATAGTAGTTGGCGGTATGCAGTGGGTTAAGAGATCGTACAAGCGCGCCCGGACTTGCAATAGTCGAGCCGGCGACCGCTCAGCCAGAATCTCATCAGCCATGATAGAAATGAGCACCTCCCAGTCCGGTGGTGGGATCGGAGTGTTCTCTGTCACCTTCTCACTATTGGTCGAATAGGGTCAGCCTAGAGCCAAGAATGAAAGATAATACCGATCATACCTTTGAGCATAGATAGCTTCGAACATGAGTAACGCGCGTCGGAGATTGCGTCCGCTCTCCTTTGCTATCTTCTTATTAAGTCCAGACGCCTCCGGCCAGCCTTCCCTTTTGCCTGCAGCGCTAAGCACGGAGCAGATCTGGTCTTCTGTTGGTGCCGCAACCCTGACCAGCAGGGTTCTGGAACGAATCGGAGCAATAATATTCGAAGTGCTATTAGCCAACAGGATCAGTCTCAGGTTGGGACTGTATTTCTCCATAGTCCGTCTCAGAGCTGCCTGGGCGTCACGGCTCAGATGATCTGCTTCATTGATAACGACAACCTTGAACCTTTGCTTTGCGGAGAGGTCGACCTGCTGTGTTTGCGCAATTTCCTTGAGAAGCTCCTGCACGACGACACGGTCATAGTTTCCGACGTCCGAAGGTGTGATTTCCAAATGGTATACAGAAGATACAATGTTGAATTCGAGCTTCCTGTTACTCGTCGTCTGGAAGACTCTAGCATCGATTTTGATCTTTTCCACACCCGCGCCGTACAATTCTTTTAGTGTCGCGATTGTCCGGGTCTTTTTGCCTGCGCCTGATGGTCCGTACATGAGTAGATGGGGGAAATCTCCACTTTGTGCCTAGAACAATGGTAATGTCAATTGGTGGTCTTTCTTAACAAGAATCTGGCTCAGGCTTATTACCAGTGACTTCAAGCGCGCGGAGAGTTCATGGTGATATGAGAGGGCGTCGAGCGAGCGTGGTCGCAGCTTGTCTACTAGCAAAGCCATCTTTAGTGCTCTCGTATCTGTTACGGTGTTGTGAGGCTATCGAGTGCTTCTCACAAATGTAAAGATAGCTTAGATTGATTGGAGAGCAAGACGCGTCGGAAAGGTCGTGACACGCGAGCTTAATTGGTGGTCCGTGCACGGGCCCTGACCATCATAGATACCAGTGCAAAATAGTAGATCATCAGCCTCTCAATGTATGGATAGTGCCACGGAACTTAGCCATTTAATACGTTGCCACTGAGAAGGAAGTATATAAGCCGTCATTCCGGGCAATTTTCACCTGATTGAACTATGAGAGACTACAGTTGGTATCACCAAGCAGCAAAACGTAATGTACAGATATCCATTGCTATGATACATCTATGTGTCTTCTTTCTAGAGAGGAGATCCAAATTCCCCAGGAGCCCATAGATCTCCCGATATGGAGATAGGTTACGAGGTATTTCGCCAGAGCCTAACCTGGCGCTTCACGATTATTTTATACTTGCTTGGGCAACCTCGCTTCGTCGACGCCATCTCAGGCTACCAGGCTTTCAACATGGCCTTGTCTACTGAAGCTAGGAGGTGGTCAATCCAAGCGCTACTGTTTCGATAGGGATGAAACAGTAATCAGTCTATGTAATCAGTTTGTTGGTATCGGTTTGAGAACTCCGTTGTCATCATATCGCGCTTCTGTTTTGTATCAGCAATCCGTCATATATTAATTCTGCAGGCCAGCCGTTTCCTTACTGAAGAAGGTGTATGAGAGTGTGATGGTGTCAATCCCCTTCATTTGCGGGTCTTTCGTGAAGTCCGGGTCAATGTAAAAGAAAACAGGCATGTCGACAGATTCACCAGCATTCAATTTCTGCTCTTCGAAACAGAAACATTGAATCTTACTGAAGTACGGGGCAACCTGGCCGGGCGTTACGCTGTATGTTGCAACACCAATGATATCCGAAGGACCCTTGTTCGTTGCGGTATAGAAGGCAAGCGCCGTTTCACCGGGCAATACCCGGACTTCGCGCTGTTGAGGAGTGAACTTCCACGGCAAGACATCGGAGACTGAACCATTGAACGTGATTCGGAGTCGACGAGCGTCTGTTACTGGCGTCACACGAGATGCGGTATCGGCGTCTCCTCCACGATGAGTAAGGATGGGCTGGCCACCCCAACCAGTCTGTTGGCAAATCTACATAACCGTAGAGTTTAGCTCCTGCTGCGGATAAACGGGCGCTTGGCGATTGATACACACCATTTTATATAGAGGGACGGAGCTGTATGCGAGCGCAACCGTTCCGAGAATAAGGCTCGCCGTATAGTACCTAGATATTGTTAGAAATGAGCCGCAAAGAGCACAGCGCGATAATAATACAGTGTAGACGCATTCCGCTTCTGAGCCTGGGGAGTGTTAAACGGTGCGGAGGCATTTTGTCCTAAAAAGGAATTGCGAGAGAAGTATCTCTTCCCTGGCTCAAAACATCTCGCATTTGTAGATGTTTGTAGCCGAAGACCTGTTCCCGGTAACGTAAACCGGGCCCACGGAGAGACTATGCGACCATACATTGCGACAGACTTGATGCGTAGTCGGATATATGCGGAGAACTCACCTTGCAATATTGAAGGCCGTCCAGCACGTGATCCAACCTTGGCGATCAGACGTACTTATCGATAAGACCGAACTTTGATGCATGCCAACCACCAATTAGCACCAATTCGTTCAATAAACTGAACCCTATCTACTAGTAGTAGTTATTGTTTTACTGTGTAGTAGGAGTACCTAGGCTGGTAGGTATTTTCTACCGCGTAAAAAACTGCCACTTGGAAGCACCCCCTTCCTGCCTGATCCGGATTTTGCTGCTTTGAGAGGGTGCACGGGGTATCAGTTAATTTGCTCAAGCCTCCAAGGTAATTTACTCACCCTTCAACACCAATACGGAGGACTCACCCTCCACTGACCCCGGCCCCACTTCATAATAACCACTTCTTTGGCTGGTTCACCAGGGGAGTCGTTACCGCGACAAGACATAATAACAGGCCTAACTGTGAAAACCTGGCCCACTACAGGCCCTAATCGAATAGTGTCAGCATGCTCTCTTTCTTATCTCGTGCTCTCCTACATCCTGAATCTTCTAAATATAGTACAAAGTACGCCCACTCCTTACAACTTCTTAATGTTTAACTACATGCATCACACCCTTTTCCTGGCCAATTTATAATTTCATAATGTCCTTGGAATAAGTAACTAGATTTTGATTTCACTGCAATAATACCCAAGGGGAGAGAAAATATTTTTACTCGGGGATCAAAGGTTATATATCTTGCGACTATATTGCTGATACGGCTAGGCCGGTCTTGGGTGGATTGATGACTGAGTTAAGGTAGTATCCAATGAGTAGACTATACTCAGTCTGGAATGGACTTGCTGATGTTATTGTAGCTGGATGTAGTGTTTTAAGGATATATTGTAAGATTTGGTTTATAGGTCTTGCCCTAGAGTCTTAAGCTAATACTGAACTGCTTAGCACCCGTCGGAGCTGTTCCCTTTAGCAAGCGCCAGAGGTTCTGGCAAACGGTGAATGTTTACTTCTATGGAATCATTGAGAACACGAAGATAAACTGCGTGGAATTCACCAATCAGGTTACAGGGTATCTTGAGGGACCGCCTTTTTCCAACAACTCGTATCTTCTTCCAATGGCGAATCGTGTGAATTTAGAACGCATATTTCGTAGCAGGCGAGCGTCAGCCTCATGATAGCCGACCATGATCCAGGCAAATAGATGTCACCATAAACGGGCCATCCAACCCTAGTCTTGAGGAATGTTGAAATTGTACATGGATGCGTACTGGAAGGAAACAGGATACGTGGACAATTTCGGCAGGGCCAGAATTCGCCGGAAGACCGTAGCGATCTTCTAGCCAGAAAGACTTATATTCGACTGTGCCGAGCGATCCGGCAGTTGATGAGGTAACAGACCTGGGAATTTTCACGAAGCGGCGAAGCTGCAGACCAAGCTTAGCTGTCATGAACCAGCCCAGTTCCTTCCAGACGACGTCCAACGTAGTACCCTCGAACCCGATCCATGATGATGTACGCATTTTCTTGGTACTTAATTATCTTTCGTATGGAAGGAACACGGATCCCAAGCTGGCTGGCGACTTCGGTAGCCTCAAGGCATCTTCGACCTCCGAAGGCTCATATTGCTTGGCTATGAGATTCGAGGAGAGCTTGAATACCCACAAGACACGCACGACGGCGAGGATACAATGTGATGAGCCAGCTCCAAGTCCGTGTACCCCTCTAGCAGCTCTTCAAGAAAGGCTAACGTCATAGCCTCGGCATAATATAGAAAACGGAGTGGTGAAGACACTTATCTTAAGATAAAAGCGAGAAGTGTTCAAAGCGAATTCAGATTTACTAACATTCCCGTCTCCGCCACGTTGTAGCGTCTCATATTGGGAGCGAAATACAGAGTACATATGTACAAGAAACCAGCATCATTTAACACTGAATTTATCCTGTGGGTTAGAAATAGTTACTTAGTAAGTATTCAATAGAATTCAAGAGCAGCCCAGCTTACCTTTAATACAATAGGAATCACCTTAGAGCTAGAGTTGCTGCTAAGTTTTCCAGAGAAAGAAAAAACAGATATGGACTCCAGTCAAACACGCTGGACTTCATTAATATCATGATAAAACCATAAAACCCCAGATGAACTCTCAGCAGAAGGATCAAACCTCATATATTAGTAAGATCAGTAACTAGGCTACTTGTGTGCTTATCGGTCAAGATCCTGGAATGTTGATGTGGAGTGACCTGGCAGGAATTGATATACCGCTACATAATATCCTCACTCTTTTATTTGGCGACTTTCGTTAACGTTGCGTGGTTAAAACAAGAGACTTGGAGGTAGGTATTAGGTACCTCGGGAGATATTCTGGCACTCAATCTATTCTCCATGCCTAGAAAGACGGCATCACATCTAAACTCTGCTTCGAGTTGAGCGCATAGGCCCATGATATTGATTTTACCGTAGTACAGTACTACAGGATCAATGAAAGGGCAAAAGAAGGCTCTATATTCTTCTAATAATACAACGGGGAAAAAAAAAGCGCCTTCCATGACGTCCAAGACGTCGAAGAAGATTCTGGGTATGACGCATTGTCGTAGTAAGCTCTATTTATTCATTATTTCAGGACACTCGTTGCAATCCTGCCAAAAACGCCTCTTACCATGCCAGGCCGCTCTTGAAGACAAGTGAGAAGAAGAGCGGCACTGACAGCGAAAGTAATGCGCTCTCGATGTTGGTACTGAGGACCGATTAGCATTCATTGAATTCTGGGATTACACAAGGTATGACGGGGAACCAGCTTGCAATTATAAAATTGCAACACAAGACGAGGTGCCACACGGGAATTGGGGAACATGTAGGTAAGCAATCAAACGGAGTGAGTGAACCATACCTGCTTATCGTAGAACCTTGGGAGCACAGTTGCGGCAGCTCTAGGTGCCACAAACAATGCTAATTCCTGCCGTTTCGAGGGGCTTTCTACAAGTATACTCCAGCCGCACATCAAACATCCAGCTCCAACGCAAAGCCCGGAGTCCCACATCATGGGGGTTACCACATCTCGTGAGAATACCCTTGGTCCGATTCTGGTTCTGGCGAGACAGACGGAATAGTAAAAAATACTCACAAACGAAGCAAGAAATGCCGATGAGCGCAAGGCATCAGATACAGCCCGGCGGAGTGACAATATCGAGTTCAATCTCCGGAGACGAAAGGCAATTTGTAAAGGTATATAAGTTGCACAGGAAAATCCAAAAGTTCGAGCGAACCGAGATACGGCGTGTTTCTCACAGTTAGGGCCACAGCTCATGTGTACCATTTCGCAGGGAATAGGAACTGTTTTGGAGGGATCACCCCATTCTATAGGCCAGCCGTAGTCCTTGCACATGGACTCGAGTAGAGGCGCTTGCCCCGTGTCTTTCCCATACACGAAGACCCCTCTCCTGGCCCGGCGAAGTGCTTCAATCAACCGTGAATCCACCTTGGCTACCTCTCCAATCCATTTCCCATAAGACTTTGGCAACCTTTCGGGGAGGTAAAACCATGCCCACATCACGACTGCTGCACTAGCGGCAAATACGCCTGAATCCGCAAGCTTTGGTGCCAGAGATTCTGCCCGACTCCAGCGACCCCGAGTGCTCCGCCACCCTCGCCATCGAGCCCACATGATGCAGGCTACGAGATCCACTGCTCTGGTAAAGCTAAAAAGCGTCAGATCCATCGTCCTACCCGCAAATTGAGGCCTATTATGTATTGTATTCTTGCTTCCATGCTGCCTCTCAGCAGCTTCGTTATTTTCATCGTCAGCGAGCGTCCTTTCATCTCCTTGTAGCCTAATGGGTCTTCGGTTCAACAGCTCAAAGCTCAACCACGCGGATAGAAAAGCACAGACAAGTCGACATAAACGCAGAAAATTGGCAGATTCTGATTGACTACATTTGAAGCCAAGCCTTTGCCTTAAGAGCTCAGCCAGCCGAAAAATGACTAGGGGAAGCACCGTCGAACCCCCAACAAGAGAAGCACAGAATGTGGGGAAGCTCTCCAATCGTATTGCACTCGTCAGTGCACGAACTAGCTGTGATCCAAGTGTTAGTCTAAACCGTCTATCGAATTCTGTGTTGGCAAGTAGATCACGAAGCGCAAAAGCCATATATGGGTCAAGGAAGGGCAGATGCCAGATGATCAAGAAACATTTCAATAATGTAAGTATCCACTAATGGAACGACCTACCACTCTGCACTTCTGTTGATAGTTCAAGTCATTCCTCCAAACTTCCCGTAAAGACGATATAACCCTCGGAGTGGTGGAGGACAAATAGCCAATGACATACGCACGCAAGATACTGTGACGATACACAAGCAGCAGTCCAGTCAGCAATCTCAGCAGCACCCCAGAAAATGTAACGTGTACCAGCGTTCTAGATCGTATGCGACGCCTGAACTGCATCACAGTTAAGGTAATACGTACGGTTTTAGCAGTTGAGTTTTATTTCGGCCTTTACCCGTGAGGCCTGTAGAATCCATGGTCTTCAGAACTCCATTCAATGGCAATTTTTCATGACCACTTCTCAGTAGAAGATGGTTACGACACCGATCAATATCACCCTAAACTATATAGGGGTGTCAGGAATCTCTCCTAGCCATGGATAGGCGATCGTTATACATAAAGCATGGGCAGCGAGACACACCTTTCAGACGAGGTGTACCTACTCCTTACGGAGAACTTAACATGGATCGCTGGGTCAACCCAGATCTCTTTGAGGCAACAATCGGCAGAGACCATGTAAATTGGACGAGATTACGGAATACGAAATGGGAAAACTAGCACAAACACCTGCTGTGGCAGCAGCTCGAATAATTCCTACCTGATAACGGTCTATTGGTAGCGTTGGTGTGACTTAGCGTGGAGCCGTGCAACGTAATCTTGAACCTCGGTCCTTGAGGACCTCCAAAGCACGTCTGTTAAGGCTGGTTCAGGGGTAAGACTAAACCCTTGGTGGCCGATCCTCCATCTGTCAGCCGCAAAATTGGGTGGTACGTGAGTCGTCCCGCGGGATAAACCCCGTGGGCCTCCGGGCCGTACGGAGTACACTTGGTTGTGGGCCGAAGAGAGCGGAACGAGGAAAAGAGTAGATGGCCAATACTCCCCCCCAAAAAAAGAAGTAGTATATACAAAGTCTTTTCCGAATAGTAATGCGAAGGTAAGGGGGGACTGAGGGGGAGGGGTCTGTAAGGTGTTATACTGGCCTGACTTATGGACCAGGAGGAAGGGAGGGGAGAGAGAGAGAGAGAGAGACAGCAGAGTGGCAGAGAGCAGACAATTCATGCAAAAGACATGGATTTGAGACCCTCTTCTAGCGGGATTGGGAAATAGGACCGAGCGTCACAATACCCCGGTATTACAGAAACTTTAACAACACTGAGAGACACCAGTGGGGTATTTTTGGTATGGTTTTTACGTCACGCGACCTTTTTTTCTGTTCGAGCGCGAGAATTTTTGCATGTGATCGAGTCGAAAAGACCGACGGATTCCACTCCAATGCTACTACTGCTCTCTCCACCATCGCATATCCCCAGACGACTAACTAACTCCTTCCTCCCTCTTTCCCATATGATATCAATGCGGGGGCCTTTCTTCCACCAGGCCAACCTTGTCCTCGTCTAATGCTACTGCTCTGTATTGTGTTTGATTAATACTTACACTCAAGTCAACTCACATATCCGTGGTTCGGGTTTTCCAAAAAGGCCCTGCTCGTACATCAAGGACAAGACGAGCCCGAGGACTCCACTTATCGGTACTCTTATATGACCCCGGATTTTGAGGGTACAAGTCCAGACCATTGACCGATCAAGGCATGCTCACGTTGCTCTCTCGACGTGGCTCTCAACAATAGAGTAGCGACACAAGCAAAAAACCATTACCCCTCCACACTTTACTCTGTCGCTCCTTTCTCTCTCTCTCTTTCCCATTAAAATGAATATGAACGCCCCTCAGGCTCGTAGTGGACGAGATAGCCCTCAACCGGGACCATTTGGTTGTACGTATAACCGAAGTTTGACACATAAATACCTCAATCTAATCGCATTCACCTTACAGATTCCTTTCTTTCGCCTATGGATACTCCTTACGAACCTGCACCTGCGCCTCCTCCCGGGCCAGCCCTTCTTGATGATAACGAGTCTAATATGCTTGATAATTTCTTCACGACAATGAATTCCAACCATTTCACGAACGACTTCTGGCTACAGGGCCAACAGAACAAGTCACTTGGGCCGACAAACTTTGAATGGTCAGATGAACTGCCTCCAACATTCGAAGGCTCCACAACCTCTCTCTCACAACCGTCACTTCCTCACCGTGGCCTAGATAAATCTGGGATGGACATTTTACCTAACCATTCAAATTCGGATATCTTTGCGGCTGCTTCCATGCTCTATCAGAACGGCATGAATGGGGCTGGACTCGTTCCTCCTTTTGCACATCACCCATTCTCCTCTTTTCCAGAGATGGACTACAATAATGCCCGTTTGAATGGTCGCGTAAAACCCCAACAACCACAACCAGTGTCATCCAAACAATCGAACACGTTTACTGGTGCACGTACACCGATGGCTTATCACACGTCGGAAATGCTCTTCGATGTACGAGATCCAATATCACCAGAGCAACAAGCCACTGCTAAAGTACGGCCCCTTCATTGGGGTTCTGATGTCAGCTTTATGGACCAAGGATATGTGGCACCGCCTGATCAGCCGAACGTAGAAGAACAGACGCAGGAGTTGCTTCGCCATCTCGAGTCTCTTGAGCCCCAAAGCAGTGCTGCCAATACTCGTGCACCAAGTCCGGAACGTATCACCGGCCACCACAGTGCTCATTGGACAGGACCAGATGCAACCGGGCCACTCGGTGATTTACGCAGGGAATACAGGGACAGCATGGAAGATCTATCGCAGCCTAAGAAACGGCAAAGGACCTTGATCAAAGAAGAAGAGGATGAGAATTCGGAGGATGACTCGAAACCGAGGTCAAGAAGATCCAAGAGTACGAGCTATGGCAAAAATCGGCGAATGTCAACTGAGACCATCCGAAAATCGAAAGTTCAGCAGGGTGCCAAACCAGCAAGGGAGAATCTCACAGAGGAACAAAAACGCAGTAATCACATTTTGTCTGAGCAAAAACGCAGAAACTTGATTAGGCAGGGATTCGATGATTTGTGCACGCTTGTACCTGGGTTGAAGGGTGGAGGCTTCAGCAAAAGTGCCATGCTTACGCAAGCTGCAGACTGGCTAGAGGAGATACTTCGTGGGAATGAGATTCTAAAGGCGCAGCTAGCCGATATGAAAGCTATGAATGGCTTGGTTATGCCTCGATAACGCGTATGTCTATTATGCGACTATGACCTACCTTTTCTTCTTCCCACCCTGTCGAACACTTTTTCGAGCACAGGCAATTTTACCAAGTTCTCTGAGCTGAAGCGATTAGCGATTTAGGCGGTGTACATTGTTGAAAGTTTGATTCACGGGGCGTTTATTATCTGGCGATCATGATCTATCCCCTAAGATATCTATGTGTTCTCCTTCCCTCCTGTTCTTTCAAGCCTGTCTCGTTGCTGTTACGATGTGCTTCATGCCTTATAATACCCTTGATTGCTCAGGCCTAAGAGCCGAGCCTTATGATCTGTGTCTTGTACGCATAATAGGAAGCTGATATATATTCGGCTATAGAGAATGCATGCCCTTGCATTCGGGCATGGGTATTAAATGTGTATTTGTATGTAAAGGCTTTCATAAACAGACAATCTTTCCAAGTTCTACTCTAAAGTAAGACAATCAAAAGATACATACGAGAAATCAGAGACACAAGAAAAAACCGCCGAGGAGCGTTTATCGTAGGATACGCAATAGTTCCAAACGTACCTGCAGCCGTCAGCTGGAGTGCCCCACGGGGCGCTCAAACTAGTTTAGCGTCATTCTGGTTCTCTGGCATGTGACACTGCAGCAAGATCAACGATCGCGCGTTGATGTTGACATCGATCCACATCACTACCACAATACCTTCGTACCTTTTCTTTGTCATTATTCAATTTGAAACTGGCCTAAGGGCCTGTAGCTCTTCGATTAATCAAGTCGCAATGCCCCCGAAACGAAAGAGCTCCGGTGATGGGCATGATCAAGACGACATGCGCAAGAAGCGCTTTGCTTATCTGAAGCCCCAAGTTCGTCGGGTCTCTGAACGAACGATCAAGTCTAAATGGTCTACGCTCCCCGAGCCAATGCAAGAGAAGGTTCGCGATATGTTTCGAGCTCTCGAGCGCCCGGTCATAGTTCGTCAACAAAATGAGCGAAAACGCATTGAAGCGCAGGCGGCAGTTCAGGCCGTAGTGAAGAAGTATGCATTTCGAATCTTTCTATGTCTTCTCCTATCATGCCTTCTGTTATTGGTAAACTAATGACCTAACTTTCAAACTTTTCTCTCTAGCCTCGGAAAGCGCTTACCTAGAATGCCATTTCCACCTGTAACAAAGGATTCGGTTTTCGAGTACGAGGCTGCACTTAAAGAACACGTACGAAGCTTCCTCGACTGCCTTAGCAAACCAATACTGATACTCGACAGTCTTCCCTGGAGGCGAGCTTGGCTACCGTCACTGACAGCACTGATCTCTTGAAAGCCGAAATCGAAAAAGAGGAGGCATTACTTGCGAAGGAAACGAAGCAATTGCAGGAAATGGAGAAGAATGCTAAGCGGGCAGAAGCAGAACGGAAGAGGCAGCTGAAAAATGTAAGCTGACTGTGTTGCTGTGAAGCCGCGGAACTTGTCACTGATGATTGAAAGGAACACCCCGTACTTCGACAGCTCAGCGTTCCTGGTCAGCAGAGTCAAGATCATACTCAGTTCATACTCGCAGGCGAAAACGATTTTCAAACTACGTTTGATGAGGTAATAACACGGTCTCCTCTCATTGCCGGGCTGTCATTAACGTGCTCTCTTTAGCTCGAAACCGATCCTGGGGTAGTGGACTTGTTAAAGCAGCTGAATGGGCATCTCAAATCCATGCAGAGTAATACAGCTCCTCTGGCAGGCCTAAGTGAGGCGATTACACGGTCTCAGACCGCCTTGAGCCTGACTTGCCGGCCCGAAGAGTGAACTATATGAAACTTTGACCCGGATTGGGATTTCATCAAACTTGATGTCGTATTACCTCAGCTACAGGGTCGCCCGAGTCAGGCTGGCCTATCATTCAGCTGAACCTTCCGGTTCGTAGTGCAGGTGCATGACTGCAACGGCTTGGCCCAGGGCATAGACCATTGAAGAATGGGCTGATTCCTGAAGAATCATTTCAGTACTACGCATGTGATGGGCGTAATTTTCCTTCAGCCTTTCTGTATGAGCGTGCTATGAAAACGCCACCAACGGGGCACTTAAGCACCAGCCATCATACGGTTCGGATCGCTAGTCTTTACACAGAATGCATGGTTCGGTGGAGGTTGGAAAGCCCCTTATTCCCACGGGGAGATTAGTCAGGTAACTTGGTCTAGTCTAGATCATGGGAGTTAAATCTGGCGCACTATGACGAGGTGGCTGTGCGTCAGAGGTACTAGTATGGAGCAACTCCAAATGTGGAAGGCCTGAGCATATGTTTACATTAGAACGTGCTATGTTCTTTTCTGGTGAACTTAGAATGATGAGTCTTGGAATACATCAGAACACTCCGATACCTTGGAATACTAGAAAGCATAATTGGTATATAACTTAATTCAACCTAAAGGGTATGATTCAAGTGTATAAGGTGGTCCAGCCGAGGTACAGCTGTGTCACATATGGACATGCAGAAATGCTGGGTTGTTGAATATCAAGTTTTGGGGTTCCGAGGGAGAGTTGGGGAGGTTGAGGAGATTTATGGTGTCAAGAGAATGCATCGGGACATCTTGGGGCGTTTCCCGCAGCTGAAATGCGGAGGAGCTCGGGAAAAGATACAACCCGTCCGGGTGGAAGTCCCGCACACCAGCGGGGAAACCTTGAGAGTCGATCGCAATCGCCGTTCGCGTGTATCATCATACCATACATACATACTTTCGCGCCACGACAGACTCTCAAGTATTACTTTCCTACAATGCATTCGAGCTTTCTCTGTCTTTGAGCGTTAGTTAATGCCTGCAAGTTCCCACCGGACTCTTATCTGTGTCCCCCCAGCCGATAACGACAACGAAACAGCCTGATTCTGCGCAACCGCTTTTGCGCCCAGTGATCAATGACCGAGAAAAACGCTGCGCAAACGGGCACGAGACCCGAACACTCCGGCAATGGTACCTTAGGAAATCTGAAGAACAATATGGCCGAGGGAGACGCTATCAAAATGGACTCAACCGCCAAAGATAACTCGCGAAATTCTCCAGCGTCCAAAGGTGAAAACGCTGCTGCGGGGACTCACGCCAGCCCCAAGAAGCGTCGCAAGGTTAATCATGGTAAGCAAACAACCTCGACATGCATTTGTACAAGGATAATGGCAGCGGATCCTCACACTCCCCTTGCCGTTCCGCGGGCATGAAGTCCACGACGCTAATCCTGTTGCCACTCTTTTAGCATGCGTCTACTGTCGGCGATCGGTAAGCCTGTTCCCTTGACGCCCCTTTCAGCAATACTCGTCGTCTGTCCGGACGTCCAATTTGCTTCCCCCCTCGCAAAATCAAAGCAAGGAGTAAATAAAACCACTCGGAATCTATCTGCTGACGAAAGGGCAATTCTTCACGTGGTACAGCATATGACTTGCGATTCGGTACGACTTTTCCTGAACTTTACCATCACAGCTCACCCTTGTGAAACCTCTTACGGTTGCCTTGCACGAGAGTTGCTGACACTTGTTTTCTTTTCTTTCCCTTTGGAAAATAAAGGAGCGGCCGTGTACAAGATGTATAAAGCGCAATATTGGCCACCTGTGCCATGACGAACCTAGAGAACCTTCGAAGCGCGCTCGGAGTGAACATGAACATTCTGTAGCAGATGACGAAAGCGTGCAGAACAATGACTTTTCGAACGTCCTTCAAGGTATGACTAGTAATGTCGATGTCCAGGATGCTGCCGGTCAGCAAATCCTCCCTAATGGGCTTCCATCGTCGTCTGTGCAGCACGGCAATCTCCCCTCTTCTTCAGGCCAAGCCCCCGGCGCAACTTCCCAGCCACGTAAGTCTCCCAGTAGGTAATTTTTTTTTTGTTAAGGTTGTTGCTGACTTCTACCTCATCAAGTTCTCGGTTACAATGATTGGCTTGGCGGTCAAAGCCAATTTCAGGATATGCACACTTTTCATCCTTCGTATATGTTCAATGCTCCGGAGGTCACAAATGAGTACAACCTTCTTGGTGACTTCCTGAGTAACAGCCTCTTGGATGATGGGTCTATGTTCCAGAATGATGATCTGCAAGGGATTTACTCTGATCCGACGTTGATCAGTTCGATGGCAACACTCGGTGGGGGACCTAACGCGGCACTACTCCAGCAATCGCAACCGCCGCCGTTGACCCAGAATCAACCTTCTCAGGGCGAATCAATCCAAGGCCCGATTAGTGGTGCGGTAAATGATAAAGCACGGGAAACGTATTACATGACGGCAGCAGATCCCTCCGGGTCTGATCCACCGGAAGAGCGAATGAACAAACTCCTGAAGGCTAAATACGATGCCGGCCTTCTCAGGCCGTTTAACTACGTAAAGGGCTATGCGAGGTTAAACCAATATATGGAAAAAAATCTGCAGCAAGCCTCGCGCCAGAAGATTCTCCGACAACTCGATAAGTTCAGGCCAAAGTTCCGAGAGAGAATGCAGAGTCTGACGGATATCGAACTCATCCTTGTTGAGATGTGGTTTGAACGGAGCTTGATGGAATACGATCGTGTCTTCGCTAGTATGGCGATTCCGGCTTGCTGCTGGAGGCGTACGGGTGAGATCTTTCGAGGCAATAAGGAGATGGCAGAATTGATCGGAGTCCCAATCGAAAGTCTAAGAGATGTAAGTCCGGTGATGGTGGTATTGGTCGTCTTGAAGGATTAAGCTGACACGTTCTCGTGTACTAGGGCAAGCTGGCCATTCATGAAATTATTGTGGAAGATCAGCTTGTGAGCTACTGGGAGAAATTTGGAGCAATTGCTTTTGATAACACGCAAAAGGCAATGCTCACAAGCTGCACATTGAAAAGTCCTGACTCTAATTCTCCTGGCGATGGGATCTCTTGCTGCTTTTCATTTACAATCCGGAGAGATCCGCACAATATGTAAGTGAATATTATGCCGCTATACTTTCCCTGTCTGACTCGCAATTTAGTCCGTCTCTTATTGTTGGAAACTTCCTGCCATCTCAACGAAAGAGTAGATGAATTTATGTCTTGATTCCTTGTTTCAATTTGCTGTCGGCGTAGGACTTTTGGGGGGTTTATTGATTTCGAATGGACATGCTCGGCATGTACGCCAACCTAAGCGCTTTAGCAGCTGAACGCGCTGGAATGTTAAGCCCATCTCATACATTTCGTTAAAATTGTATCATACTTCACTCTTTCTCCCTACTGCTCATAGCGGGAGCAGCAATGCGTTGGGATTTGCTTGCCTGAATTTAATACCTGAATAACGTGATGGTAGTCTGATCATGTGGATGGCCTTCCGAAGAGGAAGACCATCTGAAATTATAGGGTGTAATATAATCCAACAACTATGTCACAGGACACATCTGAGTATTAGCTTCCAACTAGCAATAGCTGGTTTCCCTTTATATGAACATTCTATTTGATAGTCAGGCGCGCAAGATCATCTCTTACAAGAACTAGACTGCTAAGTTCGAGGACATGGCAACAGCATCAAGCAATTCTGAAGCCAAAGCCGAAACAATATTAGGTGAGCGGCCTTCAGAGTGCTTCTTTCATTGATTGCGGAATGCCTCATTTCTGACACATTACACAGAACTCGCTAAAGAACTACTGCAACACCTGCAGAACAATACCCATGAGGGCGCGATCTCAATGAGCGATGCATTCTACTCACTGGATGAACATCTTGGCCACTTTCCTCTACTCACGGCTCCTCCGATTACTATCCGTCGCCAATTAGCCGCCCATGGAGCAAGGTTGTGGAATATATCTGTGCAGATGATATCGATTGTTGGAAACATCACTCATTGTAAAGGTATAAGAAACTTGTTTACAATTAACGACATCGACTGACTCGTTTTTATAGTGAGCGCAATTGCGTTATTCATGCTTGATTGCGCTGCGCCAAGTCACGGCTCAGGTATATTAATATATGATGTGTTACAGATTTCTGGAGAGCAGATCCTCATGGAAAGGTCTAGGAAGCCGAAGAGTGCTGGAAGCAGCAATAAAAACCGTCCAAAGTTGCACAGGTACTCCCCTATCGTATTTTTGTCTTCCAGCTAGATGTTGATTAATGGGGCCAGAACATGGGTTAATTGAACTAAGCCAAAAGATTATCGAGATAATAGCTGTTCGCTTGGATAGACTTGATAGATCGACGGATAGCTCGGATAAGGTGCAAATAGCATCAACTACGGTGGGGTATTATATGGCTCGGGTCCATTTGGTAAGTATGCAAGCCCCAGGCGACTATATTCAGCGCTGACATGCTGAGATAAGGCCTGGCTGCAGGGGAGGCCCGATATAGCAGACCATTTGTTTTCGAAGATACCGGCGATAGCTACTGCATATGGCCAGAGACGTGTCCTTGAGTTATGCTATAAGATCGGAAGTTTTGCTCTCGATGACCGCCAATATGATAACGCAGCGAAGTGGTTAGAGAGGGCCTTGTCGGCTTGGGAGCTTTACCACAGTTGTATGGCCCAGAGCATTGACAATGATGAACTACTCATTTTACATGCATCTAGTAGGGTTCAGCCAGATCGAAGTCTTCATATGAGAGTTAACGAAGCGTAGTCCGAGCAAACCTCCAACTCGAGAGCTTAGTCGCTAAGGATCGTCTGCAGAAAGCCCTGAACCTAATTGAAAAGGTAAGGGACTGACAGTTACTGGAATAATTAGTTTTGACCATGTTTATAGAGGTATGCCCATGAGTTTGCTGTCAAGGCGCTTCAACTTGAGATTTTAAGCAGAGAAGGACACTGGAATGGCAATGCGTATCTTCAAGGTGGGTGAACACAAAGTATAAGGATACATGTTTCGATGCTTATGACGGGCTTCAAGTACTACGAGATATGCTAGATATACTGAATCCCAACGAGGCAGAGTTAAAAACGTAGGTGACTCACCGTGGCTTATAGCATAAAGTTATCTAACAAAGGCACAGACTAGTGTTTTACCTCCAGAAAGTTCGAGATCACGAGTGAGTAAACCCTAATATATGAAGCTATAGACTGATAGAAAGCAGGACAAGTTTCTATGTGCAAGGACTGCAACAGCTTCTAGTCGAAAAGCTTGCTACTTCCGATCAGCAAGAGTGGACTGAGCGAATCTTCATCCTCTTGATCTGGACGTTGACAAATAGTCGCCTCCCCATGCCGAACAGTAGCAATATTTTGTGTGATACGACGAAAAGAATATCCAAGTGTGGTCGAGGTTTCTTGAGCGAGGACGCCACAAATGCTTGCCTGATTGTAATAACCCTATGTGCTATGGGGCCCAAGCTACTAACACAACTTATAGCTCATATGGAAATACGTCGATATAGCATCGTCCGAAGGCAATCTCCGTGTTGCAGAACACTGGTGCTCCTTGGTACTCGAAGAAGCGATGTTTCAACGTTCTTCAGAAAATAAAACGATATTCGTCAGGTGAGTAATAGTTGTTGATATGGCTTATCAGCACTCTAACAGGAAGTAGAAGATATATAGAATGTGCATCGGATACTCCAAATGTGTCCGCGGCGTACAAGCTACTGGGCAATATGGCAGATGAGTACAGGAAATGCCCTTCAGCGCTATACCTGATTTATAAGGCGGCATTAAATAACAAAGACTTTACTCAGGGTAGGGGGTGGACATTCGCTGTACATACATGGTCTAACTATGGCAAGGGCACTTTTATCTCGATTCGCTGTGTCAGCTGGGTGCAACTGGCAGATCATACCTCTTGCCATGTGCAGCAGAAGCCCTTCGATCTGGGCAAACCTTGCTAGCAGCCAAATGTGTTCAGCATGTAATAGATAATCTAAATGACAGCTTGCTGGAACTAAAGTATATTGCAAGCCTCTTCATAGCTGCAGGTTGTCTGGTCTCAGCACAATTAGGAAACACGGGAACGGTGGAAGAGGCTAATGGGCTTTTAGCTCAGGTTATACGTGTACTTGAAGCAGGTACGTCATGGATCAGACAGCCACAGTACTTAATGCTAAATACTCAAATACGGGAAACAGCTCACAAAGGTGAACAAAATACCGTGTTTTCGGCCATTGAACTTGAATGGCTTTCGCAGAGGAGCTACAACATCGCTGCTCAAGCAAGCGCGTGCGATTCCAGGCTAGTGATACAGTTATTGGATCTGTCGATGCAAGTATGTTATTATCTGTCTATGCTATTGTGGATTGCTAATGTTGGATTCCCAGTTCACAGACTTGCAGAGGGAGACCATGACTTGCGAGAAGCAGTCCGGTCTATGGCAACACTATCTGCGCTGCGACAGTATCAAGATCTTTAGAATCATTAGAGAGGCTCGCAAGGAGATGGAGCCCTTTTTGAAGGCTTGTTTGATCCTATTCACCAAGTATTATTTTAAAGGTTAATGGAAAGCAGCAACAACACTATGAAAATGTCCGAAAATTTGCTCAGCACTACCGAACTTACATCCGGAGCCGACCACAAATTGAGAATACAACTGACGAACACAGTGAATGGCTCCAAAATTATCGGAAAACCTTATCAATTGACCTCGAATGCGCGATATTCTTCAATCAATGGGATCATGTGCCTTCCATAATTGATGAGTCTAAGAGCATAATTGACGAGAAACTCGGTTCTATATTTTTAGATTGCGTCCTCCGTTGCGGAGCTTCGGCAACATATACTGTTAAGTCTGTTGAGGTATTCGTTATAAAACACTCGATACTCTATCAGTTATGATACTACATGGGCTAACGGAATATTCCATCCTAAGAGAATAGTACTTGTCCTCCGCACCTCCACGTCTCCGTACCTAGATGGCGCAACAGCCCGGGGCGTTCTTCCCCGCTACATCCATACCTTCTTCCAACTCTCTTTAGACGCATCAGAATACCGCCTCGCTGAGTCGGCCCTTGATCAGGCTTTGGCCTCAGCTTGTGACCTCTACGGTACGACCATGCACTACCCAAGCGATGAAATTCAGTGGATGGCAACAATGTCATTTAATCGAGCGGTGGATCTTTATTTACTTTCTGAAAGCGACGATTGCCGGCGATGGGCAGAGAAGGCCATCAAATTGGCTGATCTGGGTGAGAAGGACTGTGCATTGTTGGGGAAGCTATTGAGAGAGAAACTTCAGAAATTGTCCTAGTACATTGTTTGTTCTGTAGACTAACCAATTTCGACCACTATAAGTACTCATAGTGGGCTTAACCTACGTGAGATTGTCCCAAGTGCTATGGGACTGTGAGGGCTAGAATAATGATAATATGCTTTTGCAACAGCCTATTGAGCCAGATGGCCAGCGCTATCCATGCTGAAAGCACACACATCTCTGTAGTGCACGTCTATCACCCCTGAACCTTGTGTTTTTCTCGCGGAATGGTTCATTTCTCTCCCGCAACGAGCATCGAAGTTTATCCAGGTATGTACTACTAATGACCGGCTTCGTTGTGGCGCCGTGATGCCCCTCCATTGATTACTCTACAAGTACACTGAGTATAGCATTCTAGCCACCTACCTGATCATCGCCAAATACCGTTGTAATTGGACGATCAGTCTACATTGGATTACTGGCTGCCGTCCTTATTCACTACTAGCTACTGTGAAAGCTCTCTGTTACCTATATTTGTCCCTGCCTGAAATCAAGATTCTGTTACTCAGTAGCTCAATTCACTGCCCAGCGCCTCCCCTCTCTCTTCACCCCCCTTCTTCTTCCCTCTTCTTCTTTCCCCTTTCTCATCCCCTTTCTGTCTCCTTCTCCTCCCAATTTCATTCTTCCATCCTCAACGTCTAGTCACGGTTATTGCGCGCGCGTTTCTTGCTGTCCACTTTTCATAACTGCCCTTTCCCAACACATGAGATGCTAAGATACATTTCAGGTTCCCAATCGGGTGGTAGCCAAAATGAAAGAGGATCCCCAGAAGCTGATCCTGTTAAAGACTCGGCATGTCTTCAACTACAAATGGATGGACAGGACCGTGAAAGAGTTTCGTGGGAAGAAAAAGGGGAAGAAGCATGAACGGAATAGTGACAAACTAGAGAATGACAGCTTTCTGGTTATCTAGTTCACTATGAAGGGTGGGATGGACTCGAGATGAGGACACTAAGGAGTGCGAAACCAACGCGTGGATACCCCTGACAAAGCTACGGCCCGGAGATAGAGTTTGCGGAGCCATCAGTTGCGGTGATGAGAAGCAGCTCAAACCAACAGTGAACTCACTGCAGAACGAAGTTAGATACAATAAGTTCGCTGAACAGATACCTCTGTCGCACCCCTCACGCCTCATGAGGATGAACCATCCGGTGATTAGGCTCACGGAGCAGTTCCGTTACTGCCCTGTATTCGCTTCGTGGCCAAATTGGAGAACTTATGTGCAGATGTTGCAAAGCCACGAATCTACCAATGCGAATACGGTCAATCCTCGCTTTCTAGCCGCCATCAGAGACATATACAGCCTTGAAAAGAGAGAGAATACAGATCTGGGCAATATCGCTGTGAGTGTTGAAGGCTCAAGCTGTATTTTCTGATGATGCGTCGAAGTCACGATACAATGATGCTCATCGTCTGCATATTCTTCGCCTACCCGTAGCGAACAAAAAGCACAGCGGATACCCTGCCAGCGATATTACTATCGTGACCCCTTACCAAGCTCAGGCTGCCCGTATCCGTCATTCATTGTTTCGGATGAAACAATATGGCCTTTTGGATAAGACGGATATACCCAAAGTAGCAACGACATATTCGATGCAGGGCAAGGAGTCCAAGGTCATACTATAGGACTGGGTAATATCAAGCACGAACAACCTCTCTGATATGGGTTTTACTGTTGACGAGCATAGAGCCACTGTGGGGTTAACTAGAATGACAGAGGTTATGGTCAATTTGCTGCCTGAATCGGTCGGAACTGGTCTGAAAGCCGTCTCTCCCAGAGGGCAATATAATTAGTTAGGGGAAAGGATCAGCTCGAAAATGCCCTGCCTATGCGAGTTTATGTCGTGGGCGTAAAGCAAGAGGATTGTGCTCACGGTACAATGTATGATATCCATCTTCTACACGTCGAGTACCACAAACTAATACGACTAAAGGCCCTTCTGAAGAGGATATTATACCAACCCCGAAGGAACCCATGTAGGTTGTCCTGACCTCAAACATCTAGCACAGAGCACGAGCACCAAGAGTAAAGGCAGTAGCTGTGCTCTGCGTCGGGTTTTGGATGTTCGATTGGCAGCCTACACACACGCATATTGGGTCTGGCTTTGAGCGTGGTGAACGGATGGAGCATGGTAACTGTAGTTACGATTAAATCGGCTGCGAGGACCCTTTGACGTGACGAGTGACAACCACTATGTGGATAGTTGGCTTTTGCCGTCATATATCGGTCGATACAATCGAATTTTTGTAACTCAACTGTACCAACCTATAAGCATGGGGTATATTTAATCTTCATAAACAAAGAGAGAGTGTCTCACCGAAGCTTCAATCTTGATCTTCACTCTCGCGATGCTGAGTCAGAACCTTTTCCTTCCCACATTAAACCAGACCCTTTCCTTCTACGGAATTTAATACAACCAGACAAATCTCTCATAACCCGCATTGTAATCCCTCAACATCGATGACAGACAACGGAAATAGTCTGCACGCGTCATGGACTGGGATAAATTACTCTACAATGCAGCGGTATTTGCTGCCGGGGTATTCATGCTAGATTACGGCGCTGATAAGTTCATTGACCACACCGTTATTATCGGCCAGCGTCTGGGAGTTTCCCAGACCCTTATTGCTGTACTGACTGCGGGTGCTGAATATGAGGAGGTATGTACATATATTATGCATACGGTGGGATGTGCTCTTGTTCTTATGACTCTAATACTGTGTTGATTACAGCTTGCTGTAGTCATTGCGGCGGTCCTGCAAAAGCAATCGCCCCTTGCACTAGGGAATGTGATGGGCTCCACCATTTCGAATATCTTAGGCGCATTTTCCCTTGGCCTCTTACTCCACCCTGGGCCGATAGTTTTCGATCAGAGTGCCAAGGTATATACGGCGTTGCTTCTATCAATCACAACCGCTTTCTCCATCCTCGCTTACTGCAACATGTTGAACAAAATCACCGGTGGCGTACTACTGGCGATCTTTCTAATGTATATGATATGTACTTGCTATGCAATTCATAAAGGAGTGATGGAACCTCCAGAAGCTTCTGACAGCGACAGCGACAATGATACTAGCGGCGATGAGCATTCTTATCTCTCACCTAGGCTGCAAGGTAATATAGTGCAGGATGAGTCGGACACATCTCCTCTTCTCACAAATGAGGAGGTCCTTGACTCGAAGAAGCGCGCTCCACGCTCACTTTTCTATCATATCTCCCAACTCATCATGGGCTTGTTAGCGCTCACCATCTCTGGTTATCTGTTGTCACGCAGTGCATCGGTAATTGCAGATTGCTTTCACCTCTCTGGGACTGTCGTCGGCCTCACAGTGGTGTCATTCGCTACTACGTTACCGGAAAAGATGGTTGCCATCATCAGCGGCTCTCGTGGACACAGTGGCATTGTGGTAGCCAGCACAGCAGGAGGCAATATTTTCCTTCTGACTCTGTGCGCCGGGGTTATTGCTCTTGCAGGACTCTCAGCGGACAAAAGAGACCGTGTCCTGCTCTTCGAACTCTTTTCTACCTGGGTATCATCCGTGATGCTCTTTCTGGCTGTCTTTGTCCGCGCAAGTCGTGCTGTAGGCGCTCTGTTCCTGGTGATGTATGTGGCTTTCTTGATCCTTGAGTTTACTGTGTATAGAAGATGAGTACAATATATCCAATGGTCATGTATATACAAGGGACCTAGTGCACAAGACATTCAAAGGGAATCCCGTGGTCTCTAAACTTGAGAGATGGATCTATATAAAATGGATGGTTACTGATATCATACCAACCAAAGGCATAGACATGCCATGTATACCCGATCCAAACTAGGGTTTATACGCACCATGTCCCGTTCATGTCAACAACTGCCTTTTTCAATCATTCCAACTTAACTATTCCTACCCCTAAGTAGTATCAATAGTTCGTATGTGACACTACCTGTGACTTGAATTGACATTCAGCATCTTGGGATGATTGAAGAAAATCCAATTTGGAAGAATGTGGGTGGCAATCCCGTCTTTGCCTTGTGAAACGCTGGAGCGATGTCATTTCTACAACGACGACAATCTCGCCTGAAGAAGTAACCACCGATTTGCCACTTGTAGCCTGTGTACAAAATGAAGTAGCGCTTCAATGTCCTACGAAGAATAGCATATATGACTGACTATGCTGTCCTCCCCACGCTATGACCTTTAGCCTTGCTAGTGCATGCTATGCGATGCTGGACATCAACTGGCGATCGAGACAGGACAGCATTGCACACCTGGTGGCACATTCTGTCGCAAAATGTCTCACTCTATAGTAGAGAGACAAGCTAAAAGTGTGGTAAGCAGATTCCTAAGGCTGGACAAGGCTGTTACCCAGCTGAGACCAAGCCACTGCAACGTGTACGGGGTAAGTAACACCAAGGACGTAATAGGCCAGGCCATTGCTGTGATACATCCAAAGGACCTGAGCGCAGAAAGTGCCACGAGATCGTCGGTTTCCTTTCCTACTCGTCCATGTTTGGAATCACAGCCCTTGATTCATGAAATGATCGGCAGCGTATAAGTTCTATAGATCGCGCCCGCAGTGATACATGTGAAGGATTACATGATAACTATCTTCTAAGATACCTAGAATGCCAAATATCTAAAATCCAATGAATTGATAAGCATGGCATACCAAGTGGTATCGCAAAGATCTTCCAAAGCATTGGATGCGTACTATATAACTTAGGGCATGGTGGTTGAATAAGGATGTGGGGCACGGAGTTCGCATCCACCAATCGGAAATGGGTATACCACAGCCCGGAATGTTCCATGAGAACAATTCCGAGGTACTCCGTACGAAATAGACGCTCTTCCCCAGACTCTCGGCAACCCCAGTTCATATTACTTTATCGCAAAGATAGCCGATCCGTCATGTCGGCACGTCGCCATCGATCGGCAGTCGCATGCCAACACTGTCGCCAGCGTAAAGTGCGCTGCAGCTTTACGGTTACTGGCGTACCGTGTATTGGTTGCACGCAAGACGGTACTGAATGTATTATCCCGCAGGCAAAAGCGCAAACAACGTAAGCCCTGAGCGCCACAACATGGCTAGAATACCCAGAGCTGAATGCAAATAGACCTCGGATCCGTCAAGTTGTACCTCATATACGGCAAAATGGTCCGGAGAACAGCCCTCGGATTGCAGAGGAGTCTCGCAGGTCGATGCCGTCCCGGCCTTCTGCTCCAGCAGATGCGTTCACCATTGCACCGATTACCCAACAAATAGAACGTCCAAAGTCAGTGGGAGGTGGCAATAATATCGATACATCTCCAGACGAGAACAGAAGCCTCGATGAGGAGCGTACTGGGGCAGAGATAGCAACTGCGGCACTAGGGAGAAACAGGAGAGCGGGCCAGGCGCCGTTTTATACTGGTCTGTGTCCCAAGTCCTAAGATACCCTTAATGTTGATATGACTGACCTTTTGGCCAGGCGAGTCTCCGGGCTTCGGGAGTGTACTTGACTTATGCTCGCCACCACAGCAGCCTGTCCAACGGCATATTTTGCTTCAGCCTAAGAGATCGACTCCGCTGTCTGCTGAGGACCGCGAATACCTTCAGTATAAGGGCGTCTTTAACCTGCCTCGGAGTGATACGTGCGATGAGCTTCTCCGCGCATATTTCCATCACGTGCATCCTATCTTACCAGTCGTTGATGTGACATCAGTACTCAGCTCTTATCCTAGTGGGGAAAGCAATCAATGTAACCTCCTGTTGCTATGGAGCATGTTCTTTGTTGCAGCAAATGTATGTCAACCTCCCCTTTCTCAGCAATTCCTTCTACTGATATTGATTGTAGTATATATCTACCGATACGTGGAAACAGGAGGGCTACTCATCGAGAAAGGCAATGAAATACGATATGTATTCTCGTGCCAAAGTACGTATTCTGTGGCTTGAACCGACATTGAGTACATCATTATCGGGTTGGCTAACTGGCTGCGTAACCTCCAGTGTATGCATCATAACAGTGACGAAACTGACAACACTGTTCTATTGCAATCAGCTCTTCTCTTGGGATTCTATCACTCGGAAGTAGACCTGCATATGAAACCATGGTATTGGACTGGTACAGCAATCAGTCTCTGCCAGATCATGGGTTTGCATCGCTGTCCATCTTCAGCCTGGTCGAACTCCTCAATACCCGAAAGGCAGCAGCGTCTGTGGCGTCGTCTTTGGTGGAGTTGTTTCTTTCGAGATCGTTGGCTAAGTCTTACAATGGGGAGACCCCTCAGAATCGACCTGCGTGACTGCGACACAGCAATGCCATCTTCTGTCGACATGCTAAGCGACATGACCGGACTACCTGAAGCAGTGACCAGTGCTTACATACCGACTGATTTGCCACGATTGGCAGACTGTTGGGTAACGATGATTCATTTGAGTAAGCTCCTAGGTGACGTCCTCAGCCTAAGCTACCGACCTTTCGGGCCTCACCCATCACTTCAGCAGGTGGAAGCAACCGAGGCAGAAATCCTGCTATTTCAATTTCCGGGCAATCCCACCACAGACCAAAGTCGTCTAGCAACCTTTTATGCGTATCATCTGCAGTTACACTACCAGTTCGTATTATTCTTATCTACACATTCGAGTGAGGTGCTAATCATGATAGAGCTTTACTCATTACATTCTACCGCCCTTTTATCACTAAGGCACCAGAAGGGCTACCGGCGGCTCAACAACAGGCGTGGCAAAGTCAAATACGAAACAAAATGGACACCGCTGCCCTACAAACAAATTCTATTGTTGATAACCTAGCTCGTGAAAAGCTGCTAGAATTCGGGGGCCCGATGACGTACGTTCCTCGCCTCTCTTCCTTCTGCTAATAAAATCCCCTCTGATTGCCATAGACCTCCATTGCTCGTACCAGCTATGCAAGTGCACCTTCTCAACTGCAAGTCGTCTGATGGTTTTATTCGGCGGTTGGGCCTCAACAAGCTGGAACTGTGTATGATGATCTTGGAGCAGATGCAGCACACCTACCCATCTGCCTCCATATTTCGAGGCATCTTTCTCGGAGCTATACGCCAGCTCTTCCCTGATTATATGGCTCAACCGTCCAAGCCAGAGACATCGGCCCCTGATTACCCTATCCCGCAAGATGCCCCTCTAGATGATCCGGCCGCGTCCATGGTGATCAGCGACGATGTCATTGAAGCACTCATGAATGAAGCGTCTACCTCTAATATCTGGGAGACATTCAATTGGATGTAGTTAGAATCACGTTGCAAGACGAAGTTGTCGTCTATCATACACTCTATAATGGTCATTCTAATCTCAATAATGATTATTCAAATAAGATAAGCGCAAATCTATTGACAAGACAAATCTCTAAGCTCTATATACAGACAAGGACGAACTCTAAATTGTCACAGAAGGGCAATTCCCGTAAAAGCCCGGTAGTCGTCGGAATGGATCTTCTCCTTATGGCTTCCATCCAAGTTGCAGCGATAAATGTTGCCGCCGAGGTCGGTAAGATAGATGTGACCGTTACCAAGGTCCAGCTTCAGGCCAATCGCTTCCTTCAAGTGCTTTGTCAACATTTCGTACTGCTTATCTGATTTGATCGGTACCGGAAGACCAGACTTATCCAGCTGTGCCTTGAACAGCGCATTGCCAAGCGGGACCTCACCGCGGTCCGTCCAGTAGAGCGTGTTTGATTGTTCATCTAGCTCGAGGTCAATCGGCTCCGGAAGGTCACCCAGCACAAGCTGAATATCGTCCCTTGAGGCTCCCGATTGTCCCTCAGGGGTGGTGATATTAGCACAGAAGATGCGACCCTTGCCACCCTTCGAAGGCCCCTTCTGTGTCCAGTAAAACTTGCCCAGGCCGGGGGCGACAGTAATACCAACGCACCAGTCGGAAACTGCATTGGCTTTCGCATCTTTCGAGGTACTTCTGTCGATCACGGCCTCGAGATCAGAGCCATCATAGCCACAGCGCCAAACACGGCATCCTTCACGGTCACAGAAGTAGACCTTCTGCGCCTCGGCATCGATTGTTAATTGTTTCGGTGTGTTGATTCTGCCTTGAGAGACCACCGTCTGGATACCACTGCCGTCCAGGTTGGCGGAATATACTGCACCGTCATCCTTTCCGGGTACGCCCATGCAAGTCCAGAACATCCGGCCAGTTGTAGTGTCCACAGCAATGCCATCAGGCAGAGATTGATTTGGTGCAAGGACTTGCTGGATCTTTCCATCTGATGACAGTTTCAGCACCTCTCCCGATGTGGTGGTAGGGTTGGCGGCGGAGAGTCCAATGTCCAAAACCAATAATTCCGGCGCCGTCGACTTGTCGTTGACGGTAGCTTTCTTGTCTTCGGCGGGAGGGTAAAGACCGCCCTTAGGGGACTTATTACCCAGCTTGCCGTTATCCAAATAGTTCTGTTTCAGGAAGTCAACGGTCTTCTCTGGCGAGAGTCCGCGCTCCTGAACATAATGACCTTCAATAAAGGCAACAGTATCCAAGCCAACCTCTGCAAGGACTTGCATTAGTAACTCTCCAAAACTTAGAAAACCGGGTGCAACTCACGATCCATAGTCTTGCACGGCAAGTTTTGTGGCTTAATAAACATCTCAGTCCACATGGAGTCAATCTCCTCAGGGACAGAAACCCCCTCAGCCAAGATCGTCAAAACCTCCCGCTTAACAGCAGCCCACAGCCTATTGAAGATAAACCCCGTTGACTGTTTCCTCGCTACATAAGGCAACGTAGCAGCCTCCTTCGACCTCTCACACATAAACGGGAAGACACCCTCATCCGTATATCCGTTCGTCATAAGCTCAACAATCATGCAACCAGGGGGCATATAATAATGCATATTAAGAATGCGGGCCTTAGCTGTGTCCGACACTTTCTCGATCATCTCCGACGATTTGTACGAGGACGAATTCGACGCGAGAATACAATCCTCTGGTGCGAGGGCTTCCAGTTCGGCGAAGGTGGCGATCTTCAGCTCGAGTTTCTCGGGAACTGCTTCGATGACGAGCCAAGCGTTTGAGACGGCATCTTTCATGTCTTGGTGTGCGGAGTATTTTCCGGGGGTTTGGCCTGTTTTCTGCGCGTATGAAGCGACGTTCTCTCGGATGTATTCCAGGCCGTCGGCGCGTTGTTGTTCGCTTGGGTCGCGGAGGCGGACTTCGTAACCGGCTGAGGCCCAGATGCATCCTATTTTGGAGGATACAGTGTTAGAATTTTGAACGACTAGCATGTTACTTCATTTACATACCGATCCGACGCCCAAGAACGCCTGCACCGAGAACGACAACCGGGCGGTTGCGGTAGTTCTGGGGGGGTTGCCAGATTAACTACATTGTGATGTATGATAGAAAGAATATAGATGAGTCTGTTGTAGAACAAAAATAATCGATTCAGTTAGAGATAGATGAACTAGTACAAAAGTGAGTGAGCCACAACCAATGCAGGCGAACAACCCTGTATTTGTACAAGATTCGGCATCCCGGGGCCGATCCTACCAACTTCCCATAACCAAGGAGACCCTTTCATGGCACAGAACTTACACATAGTGAGCAACAGTATCGGACTCCGGCCCGAGAAAAAAGCTCCAAATCATCAAGTGACGCGGCATTTACCTTATTCCTCCCGTGGAATCTCATCTTCGGGCCACGGAAAATGTCGCTGTACCACTGCCATCATTGCTAAGTAAGCCCTCCTAAAATGTCCCAAGAGCCGCGGAATAGAGCCACTACTAATGCAGCGTAGATCGTTTTAGCGGTTTAAGACAAGTCCCACTAAGCAAGGCTTGTTTCGGCATTGATTCGGAATGCCGAATATCCTATCTTCGTATGCCGTGCCGTTGAGTGGAGTCGGGTTGCCGAGGTTGCGTTACCTCGGAAAGACCCACGTAGGGCTCGCTGCGGAATGAGGCATAATGGCTTTTGCTGGGTGTACGCATCCCTTCCAATCAAAGTAGGACAGTAGATAAGCATTGAAATGGAAATGCTATTTTTGTTAAGGCGAGACTTAGTATAAAGGTTTTGTTCATGGTCCAGATTCACTATAACTATCTACATTGCATACGCTCTGGGTAAAACTACACCTGAAATTGCCTCCAAGGTATATTCTTCATCTTTATTTTGTTTCCCAATCACCATTTAGCTGGCATTGCGCCTATATCAAATATGCAAGAGTTTACTCTGCAAGACGTGGCAGCCCACAAAACCAAAGATGACCTTTGGGTAGCCATTCACGGAAAAGGTAAGGGATAGTCGCTCAACCCACACTTCGTAGAAAGCATACACCTAACACGCACAAGTCTATGACATAACAAAATACGTTCGCGACCACCCCGGAGGAGCAGATATCCTAGTTGATGTCGCTGGAACCGATGCGACAGCTGCATACGAAGATGTCGGCCACTCAGAGGACGCAGATGAGATTTTGGGGACATACCTGCTTGGCACCCTGAAAGACGCTCAAGAATTCAAGAGGCCCAAGACAGTTCGTCTGGTTCAGCAAACCTCTTCTAAGGCCGAGACCAAAGGCACCAACAAATCTACATCCGCCATTAAAACGGTTGCCCTTACCTCAGGGTCTCTGGGAAGCGCGCTCTTGCTCTACATATCCTCGCGCAGCAATCCAGCTCTGCGTGAACTGTTATCTAAACTTCCAAAGTTGTCGCTTAACAAATTACCTGAGATCCATGTGCCATCTGGGGGTGTGCTACATGGAGGGTTCTCGGGTGGCTTTGTCGCCGCCACCATCCTTTGCGCAGCAATCGGCGGTGCACTCGGGTCGAAGCTCTCCAAGTTCACACAGGTTGAATCCGGTTTTACGCGATATCCCTCGCGCATAAAATCCCGCAACTTGAAGAAACAGAACCCGCACCTTGCCAAGGGCTTCCTCGAGCCAAAGGATTACAAGAACCTGCCTCTCATCCGGAAAGACCAGTTAGCACCGAACGTGTATCGTTTCGTCTTCGAACTTCCGGGTCCACGGGACGTCATTGGTCTTCCTATCGGCCAGCATGTTGCTATCAAAGCCAACGTTAACGGCGCGGCTGTTTCCAGATCATACACACCAACATCGAATAACCTGGATCTGGGTCGTCTGGAACTAGTTATCAAATGCTACCCGGACGGTATCCTCACGGGCCAGTACCTTGCAAACCTGAAAGTGGGCGACAAGGTGCAATTCCGTGGTCCTAAAGGCGCAATGAAGTACCACAGCGGTCTTTGCAAAAAGATCGGAATGATTGCCGGTGGAACCGGAATCACGCCCATGTATCAACTTATTCGGGCGATCTGTGAAGACGATACCGATACCACGGAAGTGAGCTTGATCTACGCCAATCGATCCGAGGAAGATATCCTGCTGCGCAGTGAACTGGAAGCGTTTGCTCGGAAATATCCAAAGAACTTTAAGCTCTGGTATATGCTTGATCATCCTCCGAAGAACTGGGCATATGGCAAAGGTTATGTTACGCCGGAGGTTATGGCTGCGAAGTTGCCTGGACCGGCTCCGGATACAAAAATTATGCTTTGTGGTCCACCGGGTATGGTGAATGCTTCGAAGAAAGCATTGACTGCTGCTGGATTTCAGGCGCCAGGGGCTGTTGGGAAGATGACGGATCAGATATTTTGTTTCTAATTCTTGTATTTTGTTGTTGTGTGTTGTTAGGTTTCTTGGTTTCTCTTTCTTCCTCCTTCTTTTGCGTTCTTGCTGTATAGACTCAGATAGACATTGTATATTATCAGTTAGAGTTATAGAATGATGTTAAAAGAGCAAGATAGTTGTGTGTTATAATATTTGATGTTTTCAAATACATTCTATATGCTCAGTTATCACGTTTTCTAGGCAGCTGAAGGAGTCACCTTATGATCATGGTCGAGTACCGGACTTTAGAAAGCTGCTATAAAGAATATCTTATAATGGAAACTTTTATATGTAAGGTACGCATTGCTGCAATTCTCATATGTAACTAGTAGTCCCTGTTGCCCCTGCTTCATGTTTGCCTCTATGTATGACAACCTAGCATAGACAAGGTTGAGACTTCTGTCTAGGTTTCCAGGCGTCTTAGCTGTAGCTGATCAAACTATCTTATCATGCTTTAGTATTCTGTGACAATTATGTACAGCGCGCATTGCAATATAGCCATTTGTAATGGCTACAAGATTTATACTTATATATATATACTTGAATAGACCTATCCGTTAATTTCTCTTATATGAACCCGCAACATTCCCCGGCCTCCGACCGAGATGAGATTAGAGCTCCTCCGTATACTACTACTACACATCGACTTACTCTATTTTCGTAGTCTTTTGATAGAGGCGTGAAAGCGAAGCGAACGTCAACATACAACACGCTTGAATACAAGTGGACACACGATTCAGTTGGGCACCCTGAGCATAAATATACAACCCTTCGAAACCCCATTCCAATCCAGCGTGCAGATATTGATCTTCACGATTACTTGTCAGAATATTTGATTGAGTACTTGACCAGTCTAGTATCATCATTAATATGAGTAGCACTGATGATATTCTGAACATGCTGCTGCCGGTGTGCAGGATAGAAGCTTATTCCTACTATGATACTAACGCTCTTTTACCAGTAAAGGGATAACTTAACTCTCACAGCACAGCTGCTCATAGACTAACACCTGGCAATTTTTGCCTTTCATTCTAATACTACTGTATCTTTTTGTATTCTTGACCACCTCAGGATAGTTTTCCCGAACTGAATTCAGAAGACTATGGTCAACGATTCGAAAGCGTTCTTGTTATCTCGACTTTGCATCATAGAAAAGCTATCTTGATGGAAAAGACATAGTGCCTAGTAAAATAAGTGTGCAAGCTGAAAGACATCCCCCTTTTCGAAAACGTCAGTACACTGGTTAGAAATGGCTCAGCTACTTATCGGGAACCCGTGGAAGTCGGGACTTGGAACTCCTAAAGCGTTGAAAGGGGTCTTTCCGACTCCAGTTCGTTAGCCTAGCCTCATAGGTAAAGTATCTTGACGCATTGAAAACCCTTCTTTAATTTCCGAGAAAATCCCTTGCAAACGTCATCGCACATTATCTTTGAAACCGTTAGGATTCCGAGGTAACACTGCCGAGCAACTGGACTGCAGACAAATATATCCAATCGGAAAACACAATGAGCCAGATTAGCCCCACTAACCGAGGAAAGTCGATGTCAGACCCACCACCCGCTTGAATCATGTGGGTCGGCATGCCGAGTCAGTAGACCTAGGGCTTCCCGAGTGATTCTAGAAGGTGTCATACTCCGTTAGCCAGTCATAGCAGAATTGATTATGTTTATATATAGATAGTATGATCGCGCTTTTGAATATTCTTGATTTTGCACAACAGTCCAGTTAGTTCTAGTTATAGTCACTCTCACTTTGTTTCCAATGCCTATACAACAGTTCTATCTCCTTGGGGAGCCAAGCTCCTCTACGAGGGAGATTGAGATCGAGTCTTCTCTCGATATCGAGGGACTCCAGCATCTGATCGCCGCTCACTTCGCTATTGTCGAGCCTAGTGGTTAGTCGCTATACCACTCTCTTCATTCCTACATTGACTTGCTCACATCAAACAGGCATTGGGTTCCAAGCCAACGACAATACACTAAACGAGATACACGACATCACTTCAACCAACAGCCCGGTAGCAATTACAATTGACGGGAAAGAGGTCCGCGAAGCCCCAGGTCCCAAGGGTCTGCCCGTAGTCGGCAACTTCTTCGAAGTATATCCAGACCACCTAGGAAACCACCAACGTCTCTTCGAGCAATACGGCCCACTCATCAAGACCACTAGTCTCGGGCGTACGACATACCAAACCAACGATCCGGTCCTGTCATCCATTGTATTCACCGAGTCCGACTTCTTCACGAAAAAGATCAACGAGGCACACCCTCTCTACGCACTGAAGCAGCCCGCTGCCGGTATTTTCCTAGGCGACACCGAGACGCCAGAATGGAAGGTCGCGCATAAGTTCTTGCCTCCGGCGCTTGGTCCGAAGGCCGTCCGTCACTATGCGCCTACCATGCAGGAGACAGTCGAGGATGCCTTTAAGGTGTTCGATGCGTTTGATGAGCAGGGCGAAGCGTGGAATGTTTACCAGTATATGTTGAAGCTGGGGTCGCAGGCTGTTGGGAAGCTTACGCTTGGTCTTGACTTTCAGCATTTTGCTTCTCCCGATGCTAATCTGCATGAGATGGTTAATCTGATCGCTGAGTTGCTCTCGCTGAACAAGAAGGTCACGTCGAAGGGTGACTGGTATGCCAAGTTGCCTTTCGGTGATCCACAGAAACTCAAGCAGATCAAAGCACGGATTGAGGAGATGGTAGAGGAATCTATTCAGTCGGCTGAACGAGGAGGTGTTGTCGACCTTCCTCTTCAGGATGCAGCATTGCAAGCTTCAAACATGGTCGGTAAGTAGACATCCATTTTTCCCCGTGGGCGCCATGTGGTTGTTCATCCCACTTACCATGCACAGATTATGCGGTGCGTGCCACCGATAACAAAGGTGAAAAGCTACCAAAGTCAAGTCTCGTCTGGGCTCTTACTGTCGCAACTGCAGCCGGTTTCACAACCACCAGCTCCCTCCTTTCATGGCTGATCTACGGTCTCGTCACGTATCCTGGTATGCAAGAAAGGCTTCTACAGGAATTGATTGACCATGGCATCGACGAGAATACGCAAATGACCGCCGACATTACGGATCGTCTTACCTTCCTCGACAAGTTTATTAAGGAGACACAGCGCCGCCACAACCCAAGTTTCCAGCCGGGTCGAACAGCAAAGGTTGACCTCATTTTGCCGGGAGGGTATAAGATACCCAAGGACTCGATTATTATTCCCGCGCTGCACCACATTCACAACAACCCTGACCTCTGGGACAACCCTCAAAAGTTTAATCCCGACAGATGGGATACCGAGGAAGTGAAGAATAGACACAAGGCCGCGTACATACCTTTCGCCATGGGGTCGCGCATGTGTATTGGGTTCAACTTTGCCCTGCAGGAGATTAAGGTCTTCCTTCCTAAGCTGATTTATCGGTACAAGTTCACTCGCGAAGGGGATGGCCACATTGAATACGACCCTATGTTCCAGTTGATTCGGCCGAATAATCTGTATGTTCGGGCAGAGAGGAGAGTTAAGTGGCCACCGAAGACGGAGAACTAAACATATTCTCTGCCGAGAATATAGAGGGCAGCAACAAAACTGGTAGATCAGCGTCATATATTATATGTATATAGTCAAGTATGTTTCTTAGATAGAATAGACAGCTTTGTTTTAGCTTCCTCGTCCATGCTGGGGATTTATTCTAAGTACATAGCATCAGCTTATACTGTATGCTAATGACCAAAGGGTAGTAGACTGCCTTTGCCTGAAGCTGTCCCCTCAAGTCACTGAATACCTCAGCGATGACGAAGTTATTCATACAAGAATAAAACTCTGAAACTTCGGGGAAGCATTGACCCAGATCCTTAGAAATGCTCGCCCGAGTGCGATGCGCCTACTGACGCCATCTCTGGTTTCAACAATCATCAGATCGACCACCGAGCCAAAGGGGTGAGATTGGAACTTCATGGGCACCCCTTTACAGTCAAAGCAGCAGACTTTGTTGATATTATGATCATCAAAGCCCGTAAGACGAATGGCCCCAAGCGAAAGAGCCAAAGCATTGAAGAAAATATCAGGGCACGGGTTCTGAAGATCAAAGAGTTTCTTATGAGCTATTGTCCTTGGGAGTAACCAGCCTATAGAAGCACCCAACTCAGTCTGCAGCTCCACAGCTCCACCAGGAGAGTATCCACCACGCGATTCATGTGACGGCACCACTCGGACGCGTAGAGACTGTGTGTAAATATAAGCCTTGCCAGCTTTTCCTATGCGCCCAAATCTTTCGGAGATATGGTTAATTAGAATATCGTGCTGCACACTATCGAGATAGAGCAAGCCAAGCGCGTCGTTGAAAAAGTCATGATACGATGACCAGATTTTGTGAAGCAATTCCTCATATTGCTTCCATGTCCTGTCGGTTTCTAATTCGGGGTGGATAGTGCCTGGGTAGCATCCAGCTTTGTATGCCATCACTGCAGACAGTAGAGTACTAGACCTTGTTAGAGCAGATGGGCCACTACCTCCGGACTGGTATCGAATGATCCTGGGCTTCCCAGTATCGGCATCTGGGACCGCCCACAGAGCCAATGGCCCAGCAAAATGATCTCTCCACCTGGATATAGCTCCAAACTTAGGATACAGCAACTCCATCTCGCCTTGTATTGCTGCCCATGACCATGACGGGAAGGTATCCTGTTGCCATTCGTCTCTGGGAAGGTATTGGCCACTCTTAGTCCTCCAAAGCAATGCCACGTAGAAGCCGCTGAAGGGTAAGCCAAAGTAATACTCGGAGCCAAATATTGTTTGCAGGATACCCGAAAAAGCGCGTAAGATATCTGATTGGAACGTAAGTTCTCTTTTTGTGTAGGCCTCGATCTGTTCACGGTAATCATCATGCGGCGGCAAGAATTCACCAAGAACAAGGTCTTCACCATCAGACAATTCTTTTCTCCGATCTGTCTCCACTCTCCTATTACACTCTAAGAAAACGCCTTGGCTTGAAAATATAAGTAGTCTCCGCGAAAGAAGAGCCTCCTGAAACGTCCACCCCCGGCTTGCCCATTTAGATTGTTGCATGACGACATGGTAGCTGTCATCTAATTTGATGAAATGCATTCCGTTTATCTTGCGGCCCTTTGAGACGAATTCTCTGCTCCGTGACACTCCCGGAAGGCCTTCATGGATGTCATCTCCAAGTGTAACAAGAGTCACATATGAATGGCGATATATATCGCCCATGGCATTGATCAGGGCAGATTTCCCTGGGTCATCGTCTTGCAAAATACAGACTCTATCGACCCAGAGGTAACGAATACCAAGTCCTCCGCAAGCAGTTATGGCATCGCGGATTGTGGCTGGTACATGTGCACCCAGTAGAGAGCCCTCTCCTTCAAGGTCTTTGATGTTCTGTGTCGTCGCTTCTAGATCTGCTTCTGAAGATTTTCCCCATACATAACTCAGAGTAGCGTAGTTGCATGCCGAAGGGGCTTTGACAACGCATCCCCTTTGAGTATCTATGAGCCGGAATTCAGACGGTTGATGCTGCAGGTGGCCTCGCTCGCAGTATGTTTCATGTTCAGAGTCACATTCCTGGAGCCATCGTACCACGTTACTCCAACTAATACTTTTGGTGTCTGATGGCTGTGTTGTTAATTCTAGCTCCTTATCACCAAGACCCCCAACTACACCAGTCCAGGTATGGCAGTAAGAGTCCTTAGAATAACCAGAGCCAATGACCCCTAAGGATAACTTTTGTCAGTGGGTCAAGAACACGCATCGCCTCGACGGCCAAGCTGTTGACTACTTCAGACAGTTGTTGGTCTGTACACGCTTACCTCTATCGATGACCAAATCGATCACGACTCGATATTTAGGACCCAAGAATCTAATATCCAGAAATACAAACAAGTCTACTGTGAAATCCGGTTCAATCTTACGGTCCAAGTACACCGGCTGCACCAACATATGGCACATCTCGCAATACAGCGACCGTCTTCGCAGCTCACCAACAGTACCAAGCTGGAATTGCAAGCAACGAGGATGGGATGTATCCTCCGACAAGTATGCCCCAAGATAGCACCGTACAATATGCATCAACCTCAGATGCCTGCACACCATGCAGAGTGACCCCGCACATGTACGTGGACAGGTGGGACACTCCGAATGAAAAAGACTTGAACGTGCTTCCGGGGACCAGGCCATATTCTTGAGATGTGTCTCTTTTCTATCGAACCATTGCTGAGCCCATCTGTGACGGCCAAAGTCTCGAGCCAACACATCCGCAGACCCTATCAAACTTGCACAGAGTGAACATGGTTCATCTGGTGGTGAACTGGGTTTATGAAATGGGGTATGAGCCTGGCGGCTAATTTGTTTCATGTTCCAGCGGGCAACAAATTTCCATGTAGATTATATGAAGCCAAGCGATATAATTAATGAGAGTAAATAACACAGAGCGTGTCAGGGTATTTCCATTTAACCTGCGGGGGGGCGCGCCCACTTCCCGTGACCCGGCCCTGACTGCATGGTCCTACACCCCCACATTTGGCCTTGATATTCTGAAGTCCACCACAATACACAACTCCGCAGTGCTCTCTTCATTATATCTCAACTAGTTATGCGTACGGAAGTTATAGGTATATGTTTGGTGATACTATGAAGGTATTCAGTTGAGATGTGTGTGCAACTCTACTCCATATGGTACCATCACCACATTAACGCACAATGGAACGAAGTCATGAAAGAGAAAAGGAAACCAATCTATGGCTCTGTCATTTACATATCTATTATATTCTACATGCGGCTTAAAGCTTGGCCTTCTCGGTCTGGGCGGCCAGGTCGGGCATCAACAGATCCCGCAGGTCTGAGGCGGCCTCATTCAGATAGTAGCTCATGCGCTCAGCGCCGATGCGCTTGCAGACGATGTTGAAGTTAAGGCTGTTCCAATTAGATTAGCACAGAGTGTTTAAATGGGGGGGGGCTGTTGGAAAAGACTCACCTGTTCTCGTTGATCATGTACGCAATACCGAATCCATCGTCAATCACTTGACTCCATCCGTATCCGTTGAAGAATTCCGAGCTCAGCTGGCTGGTCGAGAGGTACCAGGAGCCGCTGTAGCCGTATGCCGGGTCCTCATACAATGCCGGCAGCTTCTCACCCTCCTTGAGCAGCTTTTTCAAGCCAAACAGGTGGCGGTCGACACCGCGGCCGTCACTGGCCTCCGCGGTGTACTTCGAGTGGGCGGCCAGGGCGGTACGGAAGAGACGCACAACCTCCTCCCGGGGCACCGAGGGGTCGCTCTGGGCCTTGCAGAAGGCCACACTGTCGTCGGAAACGCTACGGATGGTCTCCGTACGGCCCTCCTGGAACTTACGAGTCGAGGCAGATTCGTAGGTTGGGCGGTTCTTGCCGTACATCTTGAAGTAGGCCAGCTGGATGACCATCTGCACATATGCATCCGGGCTGCACTTGAACTTCTTGATGAGACCCTTACCGTAGCCCTGGTAGGCCTGCACCTTCAGCTCGTGCGCGCTAATCTGCTGGCGGTGCTCCTTGGTGGCGGCGTCAATAGCCTCCAGCACCTCGTTGTTCAAGTGGAAGTTGATGGGGCGGGGATCGGGGAGGTCGGAGCGGACGGGCTGCTCCGAAAGGTCGATCTTGTTGTTGAAGATGAGATTGTTCAGGTGATCGTTGAGACGGCTGGTGGGGCTGCCATCCATCATGCTGTGCTCACCCATGAAACCGGCAGTGCCGTTGTCATTGATGATGAACTGCAAAGGCTTGTCGAACCAGCGGTTGGCGCCATCGCCGTGCCAGTACTGGTGAGCCCGCTCCTCCAGCGTGACGGGGGTGGCATCGTCAAGACAGATCAGGAAGCCACTGGACTCGATGTCCCGCAGAGCCTGCTCGTTGGCCGGGTGTGCCACAAGCAGCTTCTTCCGGGCATCAGCCCAGAGGTCACGGTTCGCCGCGGTCAACGTGCCGACAGCGGGCGACTTCTGAGCAATCTGGTAGATACGCTCGAACTGCTTCTCCAGCTCCGATACGTTCAACGGCTTACCGCTCACAACCAAAGGCACCTTGAAGAACTGGTTCTTGCGCACAACCACAATGTGCTCGTTCTCCTTAGCGGGGAACTTCTGAGGATAATCTGCACCGTCGGCGGGAATGCGGCAGCAGTTGAACATGTACTCGAACGAGCTCATCGCAATAGGCGCCGCGCGCATGTATTCCGGCTCCAGGGAGCCATCATCCACCTGGCGCTTGAACTCAAGCGCCGCTGTAGCGACGGACGCGGCACGCTTGGCGGGGTTCCGGCGAGCGCGGTCGTCCTTGTATGAGTAGAAGTAGGAAACGTAAGGGACTACCGGGTCGCGATAGCCCAGGTATGCGGCGTGATTCCACCATTCAGTAATCCAGTTCTTGGTCTTAGGGTCCGCAGCACGGGCTAGAAGTCTTTCCTGCAGAGTCTGACCCTCTCCACCAGGGCGAACGAAGGCCTCTACGGCCTTTTTGGTGTTCTCATATTCGGCTTCGGAAACCACCGCATGGACCGATTTCAGGTAGCGGCGGGCGGTTTCTTCAAGAGTGGGAACCGGCAAGCGGGGAAGGGAATCTTCGAATCTGAGCATCTTGCCCTTGGAGAGGTCCTCTACATATCCTGAACGATGTTAGAACCGAACGCATTGAGGCTCTCACATTATGGAAATTTTCAATAATATGAACGTGGTGCATGTGATTAAACTCACCCTCCGGGAGAGACGAAGCCTTACGCCGAGGAGCCATGGTGGGTGCCTACATATGCCGGTTAATATGCCGTTCGAATCCGTTTCAGGGGTGCAAGAATAATCAATTGCGCGAGTCATACCACAGCAGATCTAGCAAGAAGAGAGTTGGTAGGGGAGAGACGGGGCCGTGAAAGTGTGGAGAGACGGCTTCGAGCAGAAGCCGTAAACATCCCTCTGGACTGTGACGAGTGTCTAGTAGGGGAAGGGTGTGAGGTAGAAAGGTGAGTAGATTAGAGAATTGAGAACGTTGAAAGCGACCGAAACTGGGCAAAATAGTTTAAAGTAGAGAAAGAGAAGGAAACAGGTGAACAGGAGCAAGAGAACAACCTCGGTTGGAAGGAGAAGTGTTTCGGCCGACCTTGGGGGCGGTATGATACGGTACCACTAGGCCATTTTAGTGGGGAGGGGCAGGCGAGGTCTACGGAGTTCTCCGTAATTTGAGGGGTAATACGGAAACCGGAGCGCGGAGCACGGAGCACGGCGTATTGAAAGCGTGTCGACGTAATTCCCCCAGACTTTCCTTGGGCCTCGGCACATGATCCTAGTCCGACTCACGGCACGGCACACCGGTCTAACTTCGAGATATTGAGTATATCCTCCGGTGCCCTAATCGAACGAGTATAGGCCCCTGATTTGACGAAGGACGCCAAGAAACATTCCACCTCGCATGGAAGTGGCTCTCCAGTGTCCACTTCATCTGGAATCGTATCCCGTGATACATATACTCTGGACGGCGTACGTATATATATAAAATATTCCCATTAACATGTGGGGTGACCTGCCGAGAAACCCATCATCATGTTCCCCTCCTGAGGACACATCCCCATGAATAATTCATGAGGTTACCTACATAGAATCTCCCTTCATCCGTCCCGCTGATCCGATCTTGTCATCTGCCAACGGTCAGATGAACCTTGGTCGAGAATGACGTCTGATTGGCGCAGGCGACGGAAAGGGACTCGGGAAGTTTAATACGTGTAGATACTTATTGGGTACCTACATGTCCATTCCTCCAACTAAGCAGTATATTGCAATTGATCCACCCGTAATAGTAGCTTAGCCACATTAGATTGTATTCAATTCATATAACCCAGAGAAACAAGACACGCAGACAGGTAACTCGGTGGAATGATCAGTTTGCTCCACGCCTCGCTAGAACAACATGTACATCTAAAAGCCATGAACGCACAACATAAACGACAAGAAACGCCCACCCAGACTTAGAAAATTAATCGGTAGAGAAAAAAAGATGCACAAAACATGAACACTCATTACAATATCATGAAACCGTCTGGACCGGTGCAGCCGGCTGAGGTTCTTGACTCTCCATGGCTTTCGTCTTCTGTCGTGTGATTTGAATCCCATTACGGAGGTGCTCCAATTTTAACACGCCAGGACCTGTGCAGATCCGACCGGTCTGCATCATGTTGCGGAGCCGTTTTCGTCGTGCTTCTCCACTACGCTCCTCGCCTCGACCAACGCCTTCGTCGACCCACTCAGTCCGTAGCACTTTAAAGCTCATACCGTCATGCGTTCCGTCCCAGGGACGTGACTTGAGGCCAAACAGCACGCTCGAATCATACCGTTCCAACCGGGGCAGGATGACAAGTATGATATGTAGGTCCTTGTCCAACGGGGGAACTGGTGGAACGAGAGGTCGATCGCCGTCCGGCAGCCCGGCATCTTGGGCCGTCTTAGGCGCATGTTGATAGGCATCTTTGATTTCCAAATCAAGCATGTCAGCATCGACATCCTCACCCCACGCTCCGCGTATGAATCCCGAATGAATGGCCGCCGCAACAGGATCTGAGTCGTCGGTGTAGATGCCGGTCCCCCAGAGCGCACGCCGAGCGCAAATCTCTTCGCGATGGCTAGAGTCAATGCGGAAACGAGGGACTCGGATGGTAAATGTGCAGTTTTCCTTGCCCTCAAAGCGAGGGAGGGGAAGCGGGGTGGTCGTGTAGCCAAACTTGGCACTCTCCAAGGTGGCCTTCTCTGTAGGGACCCCCAGACGAGGAGCGTATAAGGTTGACCCGAGATGATGTCGCGGGAGATGAGCCACACTCGACAGAACGGGTTCAATATTGACCACGGTTTTGGGTTCACGCATCGGCGTCACTGCCGGTGGGTTGGCCGCAGCAGGACGAGGCGTATGATGGTGGTGATGGTGATGGTGATGATGATGATGACCCATAGCCGTCGCCACTGCATCGGCCTGCGTTGAAGTCCGGTGGAAATAATTTAGTGAAGAGACGCCACGATGGGCGCCCAGCGCGCTTGTTTCTTCTTCGGGCTTATGGCGATGATGGTGGTGACTGCTTGGTGTTGTTAGCATAGGCTAATTGAGATACATTTGTGTGCAAGAACAGAGATAAACAAATGGACTAGCAACTCACTGATGATGGTGATGGTGAACGTGACGACCCCTACGACTGCCACGCGTCGAGGCAGCAAGCCGCGCATCTGTACCAGCCTCAGTCTCCGCTCGCCCATCTTCGTCCCGGGATCGCTTTGGTCTTTTGCCGTTCGCCGACGTGGGTCGACCGATCTTAGTCTCATCCGTAGTTGTTTCACTGTTGGCTGACTTGGCAGTGACGCTGTCGCGTTTGAAAGGACTGGCAACCATTGGGGTGGAAGGGCCACTGCCTGTGGTGGCGGTCACTCCGCCCACGCCGCTGCCAATACCGGAGAAGACCCGACCAAGTTCGCTCTTGATACCGGCCTCGCCGACTGGCCCAAGGATCTGGGCTTGGGCGCCTTGTACCGCTTGGGGTAAAGGTGACGCACGCCCACCTCGTTTCGCGTCGAGACCGACCCCAAGAAGGGTTCTGTGCTGGAGCAACTCGTCGCTTCCCTTCCGCCGTTGGTCATCTGACGAGGCGGAATGAGCCAAAGATGACGGGCCGGCTGATGGGGTCGAGCTAAATAGACGCTGTTCGGTTTGAAGCTTGCTTAGGTATGGCTGCTGCTCATGAGGCGGAGGAGGTGTAGGTTGACCCTGGCGGGGCTGGATCGACAGGGGAGGTTGTCGTGAGCCTCCTAGTTGGGAGCCCAGAGATTTAGTATAGCTTTGAATCGCGCCGAACCCAAATCCGGAGCCTGGCTCAGGGGCGGGGAAACGCTTCGCTTCAGGTGACGGTGGCTGCGAGCGACCAAGCTCCCACGTCGCTGCACTTTGCTGCCGGGCGGCTGCCGGGTCCCGTTCCCCGTATGGACCATACCGTGATTGAGGGTGTGGCGCCTTGGACTCTTGCTCGTGTGCAATAGCTCTCTCTCGTTCTCGGTGCGCTTGTTCTTCTAAGTGACGATCCACGTATATCCCGCCAAATCGGCTTTGCTGAGACTCCTGGCTCATATATGACGCTTGCCGCTGGTGCGCTCCTCCAAAGCCTTCTCCACCGCCCGGTGCGGCCGCCGATCGTGCAAGTGGGCTATACCCAGCCGGTCGCTGAGGCGCCTCGAGGTGCTGGGGCTGGCTGTTTGGTCGAGGAGCGGGTGCGCTAAAGCTGAATCGACGTGTCTCGTTGTATGGAGGTTCGGCGGACGACACTTGGGGCGAATGATGGGCGGAACTGGGCTTGTCCGGATACTGCGATGAGGGAGGGACGCGCGACAGGCCTCCGAATTTGGTCTGTTCCGCTACGGACGGCTGAGACATACCGCCCGAGCTAGAGCGGTATGGCCTCCCCGGGTGGGCTTTCGAAAACGACTTTTCGGGCGTGTGGGATCGTCGAAAGGACGAGTATTCAAGAGGAGAGGGTCTTGCTGGGGCGGTAGGCGGCGACATTGCACTGGGCGCTGACGGCGGAGGAGCGCTGCTGAACGGAGCGGATGACACTGGAATACGCGAGAAGATAGATGATGAGCCTACATCCCGGGCTGGACGGTCAGCGTCCGAGCCAAGCATTGCCGATATCGACATGCTGCTACCAGGACGATGAAGAGCCTGGTTGCTGGGAGGCTCACGGGACGAAAAAGCTGTGGAAAGAGACGAAGCATTTCCCGATTGGCCCCGTGAGGGGTAATGTTGTGGTGGAGACGGAGGAGGCATCCGGCGATTGCCTAAGGGAGGCGCGGAGGGCTGTTCTTGGGGTCCTACGCATAATTCCGAGGTTAGCGAACAAGTTGGCCAGCGTCACTGTCAGTGAAAACGAGAGAACCAAAACAGAAAACGCCAATAGCAGTAAGTTGAAGGGTAAGTAATATGTGCGATCGTGCATATTTAAACCCATGGGGCTCTCACGGCGCGTGGGAGTAAGGGCGCCTTCAGGCGAACGCCTGGCACTCACCAGGAAACACGGGACTGCCACTGCTGCCCAAAGACCTCCGACGGCTTTGGTCATGCGACGGGGGAGGGTTCATGTCGCATTCAGAGCAAGATATAAAGAACAACGGAAATAAAATACAAGATAAGACGTGACGGGAAAAGGAGGACGAAGAAAGGAAAAGAGACGCGCGAGAAAGGGGAGAGATGATCTGATGCTGATGGAGAAAGCGCAACAAAAGAGTTCCACGACTGGGGCAGAACCCGTGACTCTAGGACTCCGAAAGCTCGGCCAGCGCTAGACCCTTTCAGACCAAGTCGCCCTGGGATAGGGCGCTAACCCCTAACGGGGATAGCGCTCCCGAGGTCGCCTGGGCTGGAAGTCGATCAGGCGCCACAAACGCGGCTGGTGCAAGACCCGTGATTGGTCGTTGATCTCTGGTCTCAAAGTTTGGGTACCTTTCCTTGATGTAAGGTAGGACGGGGTAAACAATGAGCCTGCATGGACACACGAGACACTTGACGAATCTGCAGGGTGATTTCTCCCCCAGCATATGGCAAAGAGGAAGATGTAAAAGTGGTAGAAATGAAGGATACTGAGAAGGGAAACAAGAAAAAAAAAAAAAAA